GCCTTTATTACGTTGAGGCACTTTCCTTCTATACCCATTTTATTGAGAGTTTTTATCATAAATGGCTGTTGGATCTTGTCAAATGCTTTCTCTGCATCTGTGGAGATGATCATGTGGTTTTTATTCCTCATTTTGTTAATGTGGTGTGTCACATGGTTTGATTTGCAGATGTTGAATCATCCCTGTGTCCCTGATCATGGTGTATGATCCTTTTAATGTATTGCTGTATTCGGCTTGCCGATATTTTGTTGAGGATTTTTGCATCTATGTTCATCAGCGATATTGGCCTGTGATTTTCCTTCTTTGTGTTGTCCTTGTCTGGCTTTAGGATCAGGGTGACGTTGGCTTCGTAAAATACGTTAGGAAGTATTCCATCTTCCTCAACTTTTTGGAATAGTTTGAGAAGGATAGTTATTAAATCTTCTTTGAATGTTTGGTAGAATTCTCCAGAGAAGCCATCTGGCCCTGGACTTTTATTTTTGGGGAGGTTTTTGCATACTGTTTCAATCTCTTTACTTGTGATTGGTCTATTCAGATTCTCTGTTTCTTCTTGTTTCAGTTCTGGGAAGTGGTATGAGTATTAAGAATTGATCCATTTCTTCTGTATTGTCCAATTTGTTAACATATTTTTCATAGTATTCCCTTATAGTCCTTTGTAGCTCTGTGGTATCTCTTGTCATTTCTCCTCTTTCATTTCTAATTTTATTTATTTGAGGCTTGTCTCTTTTTTTCTTAGTGAGTCTGGCTAAGGGTTTGTCAATTTTGTCTGTCTTCTCAAAGAACCAGCTCTTTGTTTCATTGATCCTTGATACTGTTTTTTTGTTTGTTTCAATTTCATTTATTTCTGCTCTCATTTTTATTATTTTCCTCCTTCTGCTGACCGTGGGCTATGTTTGTTCTTCTTCTAATTCTGTTAGCTGTAGTTTAGGCTGCTTATTTGAGCTTTTCTTGTTTGTTAAGATGGGCCTGTATTGCTATGAATTTCCCTCTTAGGACTGTTTTTCCTGCATCACATATGAATTGGAATGGTGTATTTTCATTTTCATTTGTCTACAGATTTTTTTTTTTAGGAAGATTAGCCCTGAGCTAACTGCTGCCAATCCTCCTCTTTTTGCTGAGGAAGATTGGCCCTGAGCTAACATTCATGCTCATCTTCCTCTACTTTATATGTGGGACGCCTACCACAGCATGGCTTGCCGACTGGTACCATGTCCGCACCCGGGATCCGAACTGGTGAACCCCGGGCCGCGGAAGCAGAACGTGCAAACTTAACTGCTGTGCCACCAGGCCGGCCCCTCCAGATATGTTTTTATTTCTCGTTTGATTTCTTCAGTGATCCGTTGGTCGTTCGTAGCATGTTCTTAGTGTCCACATGTTTGTCACTTTCCCAACTTTTTTCTTATAGTTGTTTTCTAGTTTCATAGCATTATGGTTAGAAAAGGTGCTTGTTATGATTTCAATCTTCTTAAATTTATTGAGGCTTGCCTTGTATCCCAACATACGATGTATCCTTTTCTTTTTTCTTTGAGGAGGGTTAGCCCTGAGCTAACATCTGCTTTCAATCCTCCTCTTTATGCTGAGGAAGATTGGCCCAGAGCTAACATCTGTGCCCATCTTCCTCCTGGAAGGACGCCTGTCACAGCATTGCTTGATAAGTGGTGTATAGGTCCATGCCTGGGATCCAAACCGGTGAACCCCTGACCGTCTAAGTGGAGTGCACAAACTGGTACACTACACTACCAGGCCAGTCCCTGGTCTATCCTTGAGAATGTTCCATGTGCACTTTAGAAGAATATGTGTTTTGCTGTTTTTGCATGGGGTGTTCTATATATATCTATTAAGTCCATCTGGTCTAGTTTTTCCTTTAAATCCATTGTTTCCGGGGCCGGCCCTGTGGCCAAGTGGTTGGGTTCACGTGCTCTGCTTTGGCAGCCCGGGGTTTCACCGGTTCAAATCCTGGGCGTGGACATGGCACTGCTCGTCAGGCCATGCTGAGGTGGCGTCCCACATGCCACTGCTGGAAGGACCCACAACTGAAAATACACAACTATGTACCGGGGGGCTTTGGGAGAAAAAGGAAAAATAAAATCTTTACCAAAAAAATCCATTATTTCCTTGTTGACTTTCTGTCTGGATGATCTATCCATTGATGTAAGTGGGGTGTTAAGGTCCCCTACTATTATTGTGTTGTTGTTAATATCTCCTTTTAGGTTTGTTAATAGTTGCTGTATGTACTTTGGTGCTCATGTGTTGGGTGCATATATATTTATGTTTTATGTTTTCTTGGTGGAATGTCCCTTTTATTGTTATATACTGCCCCTCTTTGTCTCTCATTGCCTGTTTTATCTTGAAGTCTACTTTTTCTGATATAAGTATGGCAACACCAGCTTTCTTTTGTTTGCTATTAACGTGGAGTATTGTCTTCCATCCCTTCACTCTGAGCCTGTCTTTGTCTTTAGAACTGAGATGTGTTGCCTTGAGACAGCATATTGTTGGGTATTGTTTTTTAATCCATCCTACCACTCTGTGTCTTTTGATTGGAAAATTCAATCCATTTACATTTAGAGTGATTATTTATACATGAGGGCTTAAAGCTACCATTTTATCTCTTGTTTTCCATTTGTTCTGTATTTCACCTGTCTCTCGTCCCATCTATTTCAGACTTCCACTTCAGTTTGGTAGTTCTCTGTGATGGTTTTTTCAGTTTTCTCTTTATTTATCATTTGTGTCTCTGTTCTGATTATTTGTTTCGTGGTTACCATGAGGATTATATAAAACATCTCGTAGATGAGATAGTCTGTTTTCTGATAGCCTCTTATTTCCTTAGTCTAAGTCAATTCCATCCCTTTCCCTTTCCCCTTCTAGGTTGTTGTTGTCACAACTTATTCCATCTTGTGTTGTGAGTATGTGGTTAAAATGACGAGATTATATTTATTTTTGATGTTTTCCTTCCCTTTATCTTTAATGTTATAATTGTTTGCTAACCTCCTCTAATGGAGAGCTGCAGTTTTCTGATTTTGTCTGCCTATTTATCTCATTGCTCAAGGCTTTGGAAACCCTTTCTTATTTTTTTCAGGTATGACAGCCTTCTTGATCATTTCTTGTATGGGGGATCTTGTGGTGATGAACTCCCTCAGCTTTTGTTTATCTGGGAAAGTTTTTATTTCTCCATCATATTTGAAGGATATTTTTGCAGGATAGAATATTCTTGGCTGAAAGGTTTTGTCTTTCAGAATTTTGAATACATCTTCCACTCTTTCCTAGCCTATAAGGTTTCTGCTGAGAAATCTGCTGAAAGCCTGCTATGAGTTCCTTTGTAAATTATTTTCTTCTGCCAATACTTTTTCCTTGTCACTGACTTTTGCCGGCTTTACTACTACATGCCTTGGAGAAGGTCTTTTTACATTGATATGATTAGGAGTTGTATTAGCTTCTTTAACTTGTTTTTCCCTCCCTTTCACCAGGTTGGGGAAGTTCTCAGCTATGATTTCTTTGAGCAAGGTTTTTGCTCCATTCCTCCTCTCATCCACCTCTGGAATATCTATAACCCTTATGTTGTATTTCATAATTGAGTCAGATATTTCTTGGAGAGTTTCTTCCTTTTAGCCTTAGTTCTCCCTCCTCTCCCATCTAACACATTTCTATATTTCTGTCTTCTAGGCTGCTAATCCTGTCCTCTATAATATCAGCTGTTATTAAGGGAGTCCAGATTTTTCTTTATCTCATTCATTGTGGTTTTCATCTCCAGCAGTTCTGATTGGTTCTTCTTTGTAGTTTCCATTTCTTTTGTGAAGAATTCCCTCTGTTCATTAATTCTGTTCCTGATTTCATTGAACTGTCTTTCTCTATTTTCTTGTAACTCGTTAGTTTATTTATGATAGCTGTTTTGAATTCTCTATAATTTAGATTATGTATTTCTGTACCTTCAGGATTGATTTCTGGGTTCTTCTCATTTTTCTTCTGGAGTATTAATATATTTCTTCATATTGTTTGATAGCATGGATTTGTGCTTTCACATAGTGATAGTATCTGGTTGCAGATACACCTTCCACCACTTTGGGGGGGGTCAGGAGCTGTGCCTTCTGAGCCCAGCACAATCCCTAGTGTCTGTGCCTGTTCTTAGAATCTGTGCTGATAGGGCCCATCTGCGATTTCCTGCTCACTCGCTTGCAGCTGCTGCTTTTCTAATATATACAGGGAGGTTCTGGCCAACCAGCTGAGCTGCTGGAGTGCCCGGGGGGTGGGGGAGGATCACTTCCTTTCATTTGCGATCTCTGGGACGTTCTCACTCTGCTCTTGCTGTCTGCTCTCCTGGGGTGCTGGCTTGGTGGAGACACTCCTGCAATAGCTTAGCCACCTCTGTGTAGGGCTTACCCATGGGCTTTGAGGGAATTTGGAGAGCAAATGTGTTCCCATGGAGAGCTGCCCCTCTCTGCTCTTTTCTCTGAGCCACGCATGGTCCCATGCCTTGGGTCACTGCTGTTGAAGGAGGGATAGGAGATGCCCTTACCTCCTTCCACTTCCTCCCTGGAAGTGTAGCACCTCCACCTTCTGATGTATGGCTGCGTAGGTTTCTCAAATATCTGTTGTGTTATGTGAATGTCCTCTGTTGGTTTATGAATGTCCCTTTCATTTTATCTTGTTGGGGAGAGCCTAAGGGAAGAGCACACTCTGCCGTGATGCTGATGTCACTGTCCATCTCTTTGTGGTGGTTTTTTTTTAAGAATCTTTTTTTTTTTTTTTTTGGTGAGGAAGATTGGCCCTGAGCTAACATCTGTTGCCAATCTTTCTCTTTTGTTTTCCTCCAAAGCCCCAGTACATAGTTGATATCCTAGTCATAGATCATCCTAGTTCTTCTATGTGGGATCCGCCACAGCATGGTTTGACAGGCAGTGTGTAGGTCTGTGCCCAAGATCCACGCCCTGGGCCGTTGAAGTGAAGTGCACAAACTTAACCATTTGGCTATGGAGCTGGCCTCCATCTCTCCATGTTTTTTACAGGGGAATTTTGGCAATTGCTTGGAGCATGGCAGATCCTGAATTGTTGCTGAGCTGTGGAAAAGATGCTAAGATTCTCTGCTCCAACCCAAATACAGGAGAGGTATGGAGAGGAAATGTTTCTCAAACTTACAGCTGTCGTAATATTTTATCTCTAGCTGAATAAGAAGTTTTCCATATGGATTCTTTAGTGCATTATGATAGTTAAGGATGTGAAAGTAGATAGAGGTGTGTGTGAAATGTTAATCTAGCAGAGATTTTATCAGAAATATTGTGTAATAATAGATACGGAATTGTTTCTGTCTCTTTCAGTATTGGACAAGGGACAATAGATTTAAATTACAGCTTTTAAACTTTTACCTTTTCTAAATTAAGAAACATTACTGAAAGTGCTTTGCTAGTTACCCCAATGCAATGCTAGTAAAAATAAGAGTATCTTCAATAGATTTTAGTCTATAATATTTAAGTAAAAGCAAGCACATTTGTTACTTGGTTTGTGGCTTAAAGTTTTCAGATGCAGTGATGTCTGTAAGACTACAGAAATGTTAAAGTTAGGGGAGACAATAGAAAAAATTAAAATAATAATAAGTTTTGCCTCATGATATGTAGACCAAATAATAAAAATCTTCCATTTTATGCTGTGCCTTCCCAATGAGCTAAAAATTCTTGGAAATTAGTGTTCTAATTTTTCAGTTATGTAATTTGATAAAATGAATTTTTGCACATGATTAGTTGTGTGTGTGCTGGAACTTCGAAGGAATAAAGTTTTAGTGCATCCTGCAACTGAAAGAAATTGAGTGGATTTTTTATTCAAATGAAGGTTAGGAATAGACAAGTGATTTAAATATCATGAAGCTATGTCTTATCAACCAATTTAAGCATCAGAAACAAGCGGGCTAAATACCGTTTCACTTAATTCTGTTTTCTTGTAAAATAAAACATTATTTTAAATGTCACAGGAAGCCAACGTTAAGCTAACTTGACATATTTCTTAAAGCCCTAAAACCTCTGCTTCTATGAGCATCAGTTACCATCACACTAACTTTGAGTTAGCAACAGTTATTACATTGTAAAGGTTTTATATCATCCACTTTTTATATTTTTCCATTTTCTTTTCCTTTTAAAGAAAACCGTTTATGCCAAATTCTTTTCCGGTTCTCTGGTAGTAAGAATGATGTGTATGTGTTTTTTCACTTGATGAAAAGCCAAATTTCTCAGTGAATTCTTCCTTCTCAAGATTATGTTTTAAATTTGATCTCCAAATAACCTAAATATGATTGTTTGGATCTTGGCAGGCGGAAACAGTTGGCAGGACACCATTGACCTTTTAGAGTTTAACAAGTTGATTCTAATAGAGTGTTCTGGTCTTTCACATGTATCCACTGCTACCATTTCAATAAAAACAGAAAAACTTTGGTTTTTAAGATGTACTTATTCCAAATGTGGTCAAAATTTTGAGTAGCGTTCGTTTTTATCATAACAGGCCATCATAATAGATTTTTCTTACTTTAAAGAAATTCTTAGAATTGTTTTTCCTGGCTAAAGACACTTTGTGAAAGAAAATATTTAATTAAGCTGTACTTGTTGATCATATTAATCAGGTGTTTTGGCTATAACCGTTTTCTGATGTTTTTCTGTTTTTGGCTTAGGTGTTATATGAACTTCCCACCAACACTCAGTGGTGCTTTGATATTCAGTGGTGTCCCAGAAATCCTGCTGTCTTATCAGCTGCTTCCTTTGATGGACGTATCAGTGTTTATTCTATCATGGGAGGGAGTGCAGATGGTTTAAGGCAGAAACAGGTTGACAAGGTAATAGGAAGTGTTAAGGTTTTTGATTGTAACATCTGAAAAAAAATCATCTTATTGTGTAATTATTTTGAAAATGACTTTACTGATTAATTGGACATTTGTGATAAAAAGAATTTCTTGGATGACTTGAAAACATGTAATATATTCTTGTATAAGTTACAAATTCTGATGTTTATTTTTTAGCTTTCATCATCTTTTGGAAATCTTGATCCCTTTGGCACAGGACAGCCCCTTCCTCCATTACAAATTCCTCAGCAGACTGCTCAGCATAATATAGTGTTGCCTCTGAAGAAGCCACCCAAGTGGATCCGAAGGCCTGTTGGGGCTTCTTTTTCAGTAGGTGGATTTGTTTTTATGGTCCATAAGCATAAAGGACTTATCATATTAAAGTGTTATTATAGGATCACTCAGATGGAAGAAGATTGAGTTGAGATGTGTTTCTGGGTTTTTCATCAATCGAAATAGTTTCTCAGGAACAATGGGACCTACTCCCTTTTTTTCTTTTATTTTTTGAATTGTGGTAAATATATATAACATAAAATTTACCATTTTAAAATGTACAGTTCAGTGACATTAAGTACATGCACATTATTGTGCAACCTTCACACCATCCATCTCCTTCACCTTATTAAACTTGTCTTTCTTATCTATCTCACCTTCCTTCATTCTTTGTTTTCTTTGGAGGAGGACGTATCCTCCTTTCTTCTCTTCTTCCCTTCCTGCTAGCTTTTTTTTAATTGTCAATTTCATTTATTTATTTATTTTGTTTTATTTATTTTGGTGAGAAAGAGCAGCCTTGCGCTAACATCTGTTGCCAATCTTCCTCTTTTTGCTTGAGGAAGATTGTTACTGAGCCAACATCTGTGCCAGTTTTCCTCTATTTTGTGTGTGGGACACTGTCATAGTCTGGCTTGATGAGCAATGTGTAAGTCTGCATCTGGGATCTGAACCTGCAAACTGCAGGCTGCTGAAGAGGAGCGCACAAACCTCACCACGCCACTGGGTCAGTCCCAGGTTGTTTTATTTTTTATGGTAAAAAACACGTAACATAAAATTTACCATCTTAACTATTTTTAAGTGTACAGTACAGTATGTTAACTATATGCATATTGTTGTGCAACAGATCTCTAGAACTTTTTCATCTTGCAAAACTGAAACTCTATCCTTATTAAACCACAACTGCCCATTTTCCCCTCCCCTAACCACTGGTCATCACATTCTACTTTCTGTTTCTATGAGTTTGACTACTTTAGATACTTCATATAGGTGGAATCATGCAGTATTTGTCTTTTTGTGTTTGGCTCATTTCACTTAGCATAATGTCCTCCAGGTTCATCCATGTTGTGGTGTATGACAGGATTTCGTTCTTTTAAAAGGCTGACTAATATTCCATTGTATATATATATATATATATATACACACCACATTTTCTTTATCCATTTATTTATCAGTGGACATTTAGGTTGCTTCCACCTCTTGGCTGTTGTGAATAATGCTGCTATGAACATTTGTGTGCAAATATCTCTTCAACATCCTATTTTCAATTCTTTTGGATACATACCCAGAAGTAGGATTGCTGGATCTATTTTTAATTTTTGAGGAACCTCCATACTGTTTTCCCATAGTGGCTGTACCATTTTACATTCCAATCAACAGAGCATAACGGTTCCAATTTCTCCATATCCTCATTAACTTGTATTATTTACTAATTTTTAGATAGCCATCCTAATGCATATGAGGTAATACCTCATTGTGGTTTTGATTTGCATTTCCCTAATAAATACTGATGTGGAGCATCTTTTCATGTCTCTGTTGGCCATTTGTATGTCATCTTTGGAGAAATGTCTATTCAAGTCCTTTGCCCATTTTTTTAATCAGATTGTTTTTTATTGTTGTTAAGTTGTAGGAATTCTTTATATATTCTGGATATTAACTCCTTATCAGATAAATGATTTGCAAATATTTTCTCCCGTTCTTTAGTTTGCCTTTTTACCCTGTTAATTGTTTCCTTTGCCATGCAGAAGCCTCGTTTGTCTGTTTTTACTTTTGTTGCCTTTGCTTTTGGTATCATATCTAAGAAATCATTGCCAAGTTAATGTCCTCAAGCTTCAGCTTTGAAAACTCTGGCCATTCCTATAGACCAGAAAGAAGAAATAAAGTCTTTTCCTAAATATTCTTATTTCACTTCTGTTTTTAAAAATCTTGTATGGAATAGTCCATTTGTCTGATGTTGGGTTACTTTCTTCCTACAAGTACAATAAAACCTCCTTAATAATAATATTAATACCTAAAATTTATTTCTTTCTTATTATGTGCCAGGCACTGTTCTAAGCATTTTGCATATAGTAACTCATTTAATTCTCACAACTACCTTATAAAATAGCTACCACTGTAACCTCCATTTTGCAGATGAAGAGCAAATTAAATAGCTTGTCTAATATTAGAGTTATAAAGCTTATAGCTTTTCTACTGGCAGTCTAATCAAATGCCTGCTATACATAATGATAAAGGGAGTCTCTCAGTAATAATGCCTAAAAGTTATGATATTAAACTTGGTATTTTGTTCAACTGCCCCATCCCGTTTTGTATCATCATAACAGAATTTTATACGTCGTAGAATTCTATATCTTCACCTTTCCCAAAACTGAGTGAATCATCTTCAGTGCAATTACTGTTGCGTTCTTGCTATCATTTTTCTATTAACCAGGCCCATGTGTTCATTTCTTATGTCCGAGTATTGATCTCTTTATAAATCTCCTGGATTTATTTCTTCCTTTTAAATTGCTATTGCTCTGCCTAATTCTTCTTTTCACACTGAACTGTTAGATGACTGCATGTCCTATTGCTTGTCTTTTCCCCTCCAGTCCATATTACGTATTCTAGATTAGTCTTCCTAAAATAAACCTTTGATGATGTCACTCATAAATCCACTCTGTGGATTAATTAATCTTCTCATCCCTTCTGTCTGGTCTTCTCTACTGTCTGCATTCCTGCCTTTGAATCTTTGCTTTTGTTTGTGACTTTCCACCTTACCTGTTGAATCCTAACTGTCCATCTAGTTAGTTCATTCCTTCTTTAAGTAGTTAACATTTATTGCTACAAAATTATATATGTACAAAGTTTAAAAGAAAATCAAACTGTACAAAAAGCTCCTCCCTTACCCCCAAATATAAGCTACTGGAGGACAGAAACTGTCTAGTTCACAGGTATATTTTCAGTGCCTGACAAATAGAAGATGTTCACTATATATCTATCTTTGACATGAAAAGTGAACATCTTTCTCTCCCCGTATTCCCACCTCCACTCACTAGTATTAGAGTATTAGAAAGACAATAAATAACACTCATTTCTTTTCCATTTGAGTTTGGAACCAAATGAGAGAGAGAATCAAAATATCAGCTTTGGTGCAGCCGTGAACTAGATTGGAGGCTATGGTGTAGACGTGCAGCCATATGGACCTTGTAACAAGCTAGAACATAGGCTCCATGAGAGCTGGGCCTTAGTCTTTTTCTGTTTGCCTCTATAGCCCCAGTATGTGATTCAATAAACAGTTTTTTAGCTTCACCCCTGTATTAGGCAGCCTTACCAGCCTAGTTACGGGGAGATCTAGGTACTGTAGGACTTTCCTTGAAGGTGTAGGCAACTTATCTACATGTACTATCACTGTATGCAGGAAGACATACAAAAGGAAGCCCTGAAGAGCTGATGCAAGTATGCTGCATTTCTTCCCTGTAAAACGATGTCGCTCAGTCCTGTCCCGGGAGAGTGCGAAGGACAATGGAAGTGTCCTTCCTCTGCTCTCCCATCTTATAGAGTGCAGTGAAAATTCCCTCTCTGTGGACATGAGGGGTAGAACATCAATGTCCCCTTCAAATATCTTTAGGTTACCATTATCGAAGTTTTAGAATTTTGGTTATTTTTATGATTATCTTTATAAATGTAAATAATTTACCTAAACGTCCATGTCTTGACATATCAACTTTATATAGTATTAATTGAAACTTCTCTGCAGTATTAAATTAGTGCATTTATACTTTCTTCCAATTTTTTTCTTTCCAAATTTTTGTATTTCTTCCAATTTTTGTAAATTACGTTATTTTTACATTGCTAAGATTTTAAAAATATTTTTACTGTGTTCAGTTTGTTTTCCATATTTGTTTTAGTTGATTTAAAAAACTGATGACTAAAAGCATTTACGTTATTATAATTATGTAATATAATATTAATATTAGATAGAACCAAGTAAATGAATAAACCTAATCAACTTATGAAACCCAATTTAGATCTTGTCTCTGAGTCCAGTTTTCCCCAACTTCCCTAGAATTTGGGGAAACCCAGTGGTTTTGGCCTTTTGTGAAGTTCCATATTATGTGTACCTCATTCAGCACTTATATGTGCCTGTTGTATCCAGTTCTGTTTCCATGTTAAGTTCCTTAAGGATAGTAGTTTGTGTTTTCGTATGTCTTGGTATTTCCTACAATGCCTGACGTTACAAACACTTTGAAAATATTAGTCATTTCATAGGATAAATTTGTATAAAGACCATAATCCTTGTACAGAGTTACTGAGTATAAAGAAGCAAATTTGGTCCTGTGCTTCCTTCTTTACCTACATTTATTTTTTATGAATATAATAATCAGGTATTAGCTATCTACTTGCTACATACAAGGCAGATATGGAGTACTGTAGGAGATACAAGAATAAAGTAGACACAGAGCCTTCCTTGTAGGTGTAAGGGAGACGCAACTTTGCATCTGCTCTCCTAGGGTTTTCCACTGGGCCTGAGAATTAAATTGACGTAAGACATTAACAGGAGAAAAGCATACAGATTTTCACATGTGCACACACACAGGAGCCCCCATAGGGAGAGGAAGACCCAAACAAATGGCAAAACCTAAGTGTTTATATACTAGGTTGAACAAAGAATGGCAATTGTGGAAAAGTAACTAAAATATATAGGGAGACTAAAGGGAGATAATTATTTAAGATGGTCTGTTTGTACATAGTTCTCTCGGCATCTCTGGTAATAAGAATGTTTCTCTCCTCCTGGGATAGGGAGAGCAGCTCTCACATGGGAGTTTCATCTCCTGCTTTCAGGAAGAAAAGAGGAAGTCACAGTGCCTTTCTTGCTCCTGCTGTTTGTCAAGTAGTCTTTAGCTCAACATAATTCTTATGGCAAATGGCGTATTTTGGACTGGCATGTTCTGTCACCCTGTAAAGTTTAGAACCTAGAACAGAAGGTTAGGCAAATACAGATAGCTAATAGATGAGTCAAAAGAGATATAATATACTGAGGGCATCTGGGATGGAAGAGGTGACATTTGCTTGGGCCTTGAGAAGTAGCATCGAGTATGTGGAAATTAGTAAAAACAAGTAGGTGAGAAATAGTGGGGTGCAGTAAATAGTACATTTTATCTAGAAGGTGGGTAGTGTGAGGAGGAATGGTAATTGAAGGCTGGGGTCAGACTGTGGAGTACGGGAGAGTGTATCAGCTGATTTTATCCAAAATGAGAGAGATTTAGACCACAGTTCTTTCCATTAGCAGATTTACGATAAGCATGGTTTTTGACCACATCTTTGTGGTTCAGACTGATTTTGTTCATTTGTTCTTTTACAGTTTGGTGGCAAACTGGTCACCTTTGAGAACATCAGGATGCAGTCTCAGCAGGGAGCTGAGCAGCAGCAGCAGCAGCACCACGTGTTCATTAGTCAGGTTGTAACGGAAAAGGAGTTCCTCAGCCGATCGGACCAGCTTCAGCAGGTCGTGCAGTCACAAGGATTTGTCAGTTATTGTCAGAAAAAAATTGATGCTTCTCAGACTGAGTTTGAAAAAAATGTGTGGTCCTTTTTGAAGGTAAGGTTGGTATTAAAACAATTTTATTTCATTATCTGCAAATTTAACTATTCCTATTATATTCTAAATCTTTCTTCCTATTAAAGAAACAGTTGGAAGAATGTGATTTCAGGAATTCATTATGAAATTAAAGAAACCTTATGAAGAGCACACGACCTAAATTTTTATGTCAAGAGTTCTTCCTTCTCTGCTTTGAAAAGCCTGTTATAAAGTACTTTTTTATAAATAAAAAAATGATATGATATATGTATTTAAATGAGAGAGACATAACATTCAGCAGACCTATTTTAAAATTGGAACATAGAGCTTAGTATAATAAACATAAAATATTTAATTTCTGTACTAGATCCAGTGAAGGAAAACGGGAAAAGAGGGAAGAGCTATAGGGGAGAGAGGTTGGAGGAATTTCTCATCCCTTTACTCAGTTCCATTTATGGCAGTAGAATAACAAATGGAATTTTCTGGTTGGTCATTTTGCCTCCATGGGAATGTCTATTTCTTGATACTAAATTTTGCAAAGAAAGGAGATCTCAAATACAATACGGTTGAATTCTAAAATTATGGAATTTATTTTTATATTTTTTAATTAAATAATAATTTTGGGGAAAAGTTTTAAGACATTGAATGTTCCACATAGTGTGAGTTTTGCATTCATATAACCTTTGGACATGAGTTAGTTTGTATTTATAAAAATTATAGTTTAAAAGTAAGCTTTATTCAACTGGGATAATTAATTACTAGTATACTTACTATTAAAAAAGATAACTATCCTTTGGATTCTTTCTTTCAGTGAACATTCTAGTTGATATAGTAGACTTTAGATATTTTTAATCATTCTACATGGGCTTTTTTTAATTAATTAAAAGTTAGGCCTTTAAATGCAAGTCTTTGTTTTAAGAATATGTGTTTTTTTAAGGTAAACTTTGAGAATGATTCTCGTGGAAAATACCTTGAACTTCTAGGATACAGAAAAGAAGACCTAGGAAAGAAGGTAAACTTTTGGGAAAGGTAAAAGGCTGTGTTTCTACAAGTAAAACATTTATGTAGCATAGGTGGTTTTTTAATAAAGTTGTACACAGATTATCTCAAATCATTCAGTAAACATTTAATAAGAATTTGTGTTCAGTTGCCAAAGTTTTGAATACATACTATTAAATGTGAAGCTCCACATTATATCTGGATTTAGAAGCTGCCGGGACCACCCTTAATTCAAACTTGATTTAAAGAGCTATGTTAGGGTGAATTGGGCTGGAAAGATGAGAGACTGTGAACCTCAAACACTGGAAATCACACTTCAGTTTTAAGAGGTTGTGTAACTAGTGGCCCTGGGGGACAAGAGAGAGGGCAGCTGTTAGGGATCACCCTGTGTTGACTGCAGCTCAAGTGATGGAAAAGAAGTTCCTATTTCAGGCCATCACGATTTTCCACCCTAGGTGCTTATTCCTTTAGCCTGCAATTCCCAAACTGTGTATTGAGTTGGTCTAGCTAACAAGTAGCTAGTAAATATTTTGGAGCATGGGTGATTTATTGTACTGAACCTGAATAAACAAAAAGTCCAAATGATTTGCTTCATATTTTAACTTAAAAAAAAAAAACAAGATTCCCGGGACCAGTCCTGTGGCCAAGTGGTTGGGTTTCTGCGCTCCACTTCGGTGGCCCAGGGATTGACCAGTTTGGATCCTGGGCACAGACCTGGCACTGCTCATGGGCCATGTTGAGGCGGTCTCCCACACAGCACAATCAGAGGGACCTGCATCTGGAATATACAACTATGTACTGGGGCGCTTTGGGGAGAAGAACAAAAGAAAACAAGATGGGCAACAGATGTTAGCTCGGGTGCCAATCTTAAAAAAAAAAAAAAAGGTTCCCTTGTAAAAACAGGAAGTCAGATTTCAGTTTTATAGTTTTCTTCTCAGAGAGAGACTTGATTATTATTCCACAATGTTGACACGAACAGAAGTGAGAACACTGACTTTGGAAACCTTGAAGGAAATAGATTCTTTGACAGTGTAATTTGTATTAGCCGTTTGTCATTCTTTGAAAGTGACTAGTTTTCTGTAAAGCATTGCATGGTTGCCGCATGCATACTGCAGGCTGGATACAGTGCACTGTAGGCAATGCCCAGCACACTGGAGATGAGTGCTGTTCTGGTGCCACACAGAACCGGGGTCACAGCACAGCCCCACTGCTTACTAGCTTTGTGTCTTTGCTTACTCCTTTAGATTTTTGCATATTTAACTTTATTGTTAGTCTGGACTTGATGCTGTAAGTTTTTTAGATTTGCAAGAGATTAATATGAAAGTTTACTGCATACCTGATAGCAAAAAATGAGGAAATAGAATCTGATTGTCAAAGTACTTCTAATAGCAGTTCTTTCCATAGTGAATACCCGAAGAAATATTTTATTAAGTTAACTATAGTTATCTTATTTAAAACAAAGTAGGAGAAAACATGCTTGTTTTGAGGTTTTGTGATTGAATAGCAGAGTGAGATGACATGTGAGCAATAGAACTCCACGTGATTGAAACTAGAACCACTGAGAATCAGTTCTACGCAAGTTTTATTCTTTTCTTAAATATACTATCCCTGATCTGAACTTCTGTGGTGTTTTCCCAATGAAAATGGAGTAAGAGGTGAACATTTGCTACATGCATTGAAGTAGAATTCCATTTAGTAGGTGAGTTGTTATTTTTATTTCAGATTGCTTTGGCCTTGAACAAAGTGGATGGAACCGATGTGGTAAGAGAGCCTTTAAAAATAGCTACCTTCTAAAATTTTGGTTTAGATCATAACAAAGAAGGAAATGTAACTTAAGAATTTATCTGTTTTATAGCTTTATCATATAACAATAAATGCTGATTGTAGATATTTTAATAAATGAAGAATTCTCATTTTAAAATAGTGTCAGTTTAGTTAGTAAAGCATTCCTTTCTCTTGATGGTATTTGAATTTTTGCAAAGAGAGAAAGACAAAATCAACGACTGCTCAGATACTTAAGATCTTTGTTGCTGAGGAACGTTTGGTAGGGAAGAAAGGGACGGTCTTAGCAGTGGTGGCTCTTTGCTTGTCCTCTAATGGTGTTTCTCAAATAAATTTACTTAGTGTTGCTTCTTATCATTAAACTAGCTCTGAATGTTGTTGGTTGGGTCTTTTGTCTTCCTTGTTCACTAATAACCCTTTAGTGCTACATTCTTCAACCTTCTCTGTAATTGTTTTGTGTACCAAAGGCTCTTAAAGACTCTGACCAACTAGCACAGAGTGATGGGGAGGAGAGCCCTGCTGCTGAAGAGCAGCTCTTGGGAGAGGTATTTATTTTTTCATTTTTAATTATATTGGAAAAATATGTGATATTTATCTATCTCACGTTGAAATATGGAAAATTTTCTTGACTACTTGTTCCAAAGTAAAGCTGGAGTATATTGTTTTCTTAGAGATGTTTAGGGTAAGAGTCTATTTACTAGTTTGACGGAAGTATCATCTCTGAAATCTTTAGTTCGCTGACCTACTTCTGGATTATATGGTTTAAAATTAACAGTTGAGGGACTGGCCCTGTGGCCAAGTAGTGAAGTTCACGTGCTCTGCTTCGGCAGCCCAGGATTTCACTGGTTCGGATCCTGGGTGTGGACCTAGCACCGCTCATCAGGCCTTGCTGAGGCTGCATCCCACATGGCACAACCAGAAGGACCTACAACTAGAATATACAACTATCTACTGGGGGGCTTGGGGAGAAGAAAAAGAAGAAACAAAAGATTGGCAACAGATGTTAGCTCATATGCCAATCTTTAAAAACAAAAAAAAATTAACATTTGATTTGAGATTAGTCAGATGGATATCAGGATGTCAAACTGGAAAGAGATTTTATTCAGAAATCCACCTTGCATTGCATGTAAAGTTAATGTTTTTCTTGGCACGTTAATGTGTAGGGCCCATTATCAGTGGCATAGGCTTCTGAATTCGTCTTGAATTTTGATTACAAGTAAAGAATATTTCACTAAATAAACTGATTGTCATGATTTACTATAAACATGTCCTGAGTTGTAGTTGACAATTTTTGTAAATACTTAAAAAGAGTCCTTGAACACAGAGTTGTATCATTAATTTTTTTCCTTTTAATTTTCTGGGGTTTTTTAACCACTAACAATTCTGTAATTTACTTTTCTTGCTTTCTGATTATATTTCATCTTGGAAAATTAATCGAGTTCTTATTTCTCATCTCATCTTTGACTTTTTCATTGTTCATTGTGATATGGGGATATCCTAACTATGAAATGTTTCTTACGATCATCAGTAAATTTGGACTAGCCCTGGTGATCTAGTGGTTAAGATTTGACGCTCTCCCTGGCCCAGCCCAGGTTTGTTTCTCCATCAGGGAACCACAACCACAACCATCTGTCAGTTGTCATACTATGATGGCTGCATGTTGCTGTGATGCTGAAAGCTATGCCACTGGTATTTCAAATACCAGTAGGGTCACCCATGGTAGACAGCTTTCAGCAGAGCTTCCAGACTAAGACAGACTAGGAAGATGGACCTGGCCGTCCCACCTTGTGAATAGCAGTGGAGCCTTATCTGATAGAGTGCCAGAAGGTGAGAGGATGGCGCAAAAAGAAAAGACTAGGAAGCGTTCTCCTCTGCTGTACACAGGATTGGTAGGAGTTGGAATTGACTTGTTGGCACTTATAACAAAAATTTAGACTATTACAAGATGATTGTAAGAAACATTTTCCTTAAAAGCGGGTCTTCAAGCATTTACTTAACCTGAGAATAAAGGATATGGGTAAAATCTTACTAAAGATTTGAACTAATTTTGGGAATCCCTAGACAGAACTGTAGGATACGTTAAAAAATGTACTTCCATTTATGTACAAATAGGTTAGCTATGTATTATCAATAGAGGACCATTTGGAAATATACTCGTGAATTAATAGGTAAGAATAATATGTATTTAACAAAACAGTAGTTATCAATGTATGTACTTTCAGAGTATTTGAAAAAATTTTGTTTAAGGAGGTAAAATCTTCCCCTTTATCTTGATGATGCTATTTGTTTATCAAACATAGTAGCTTACACATTGAAGATACTCAACACATAATAAATGGTCCATTTTTTTACCTTATGTATATTTCAAGTGTCTGTAAATAGAGGTTTATTAACTATTTTTAGAGAGCAAACTTGAAAGATTGTGAGTTAAAAGAAAAGGTTTTTTTAAAGTTTGTTATTAGTAAATATAGTCAGATCAGTGTCTGATTTATTCCTTAATGTGAATAGCTTAAGTTCTAAAATTTTTTTGTTTTTAAATTCTAAAATGCTTCTCTTGAATTGAGGAAATAATTAAGGTTATATTTACTCTCCTGTAGTAGTCTATATTAACTACTTAAGCATTGTTTACAGATGATGCTCTGCACTGCTCTGCACTAAAATTGCCCAATCCAAAAATGACCCTGGCTCTGAATGTGAGGCGCTGACTTTCAGACGTGTAGGTCACACAATTGTGGAAGATAGGTGTTTTATCTCATGCAAGACAGCTATGTTTTTCTTTAAAAATTTCTTTGTAATCTCTTTGATATATTTTTGTTTCTTTTGAATTTTTATGCATAGAAAACATTTAAAGTGTTTGCCAGCAATATGCCTCCATTATATTTCTTTTCTTCTAAAGAAAGAAAATACTGAATTTGTTTTCACTCAGTCTTACAAGTTGTCTCAGAAACTTGTCGCAAAACTATTTGTTTTTAACAAACTAACTTCCTGTTCCAGGTATGACTAATTTAAGAGAATACAAAATCTCTAATTGAATTTGAGTATATTCATAAACAGTCTGTTTGTGTTGCATTTATATAAGAACACCAAGTGATTTTTTTTCCACAACTAATTCAATTAAAACAAAAAGACCCTGTAACTAAACCTAGTGGACAGAAGCTTTTAAATGTGTGAAAACAAGGTTGTTTTAAAATCTAAATATAGTATAATTAAAAACATGTATACTCTGCATGTTTCGAGCTACTTTTTGATGAGATATTTAAGAAAACAAGGATTCTTCAGCTTCAGTAACTTCTGAGCTACCAATAATAGATAGGTACACTTAAGTTTGTTTAACATTATTTCTCATGACCTTGGATTTTATATGTGATTGTATAGCGGGAGTTAATACTTAAGGAAGTCGTAGATCTTCATGTAAACTTGGATCTGAGAACTTTTCTGGGATAACTTGGCATGTCATCTAGTCAATAGGTGAATAATCGTATATAAATTTTTTTGCCACTAAATTGTTTCACAGTTTCATTCTGGGTAAATTGCTACCCTTTCCATCTCTTTAGCATATTAAAGAGGAAAAACAGGAATCTGAATTTTTACCCTCAGCTGGGAAAACATTTAACATCTCCATCAGTGGGGGTAAGTACCTGTTGGTTTTGATTTCTATTTTTTTTTAACCATTTGAAAGTAAATAGTCCTTAAGTTTAAGTTAGAAGTGTTTTGTCACAGGTGGTAGAGAGTTGAAAAGAACTCAGTTATCATTTAGTATATGTAATCAGTGCCTTGGAAATGGTAGTATGTTCTGACGCCTGTGTGATAGAAACTGTATAATGATCTTTATTATTCCAGTTTAAGCAATCTGGAAAATGTGTTGTTTTACCTGATTTTACTTACATGCATCTCAGTATACTTCCTTAGATCTCAACAGCTTGTGTGAGAAATTAGTGCCCCAGTAATATTCATAAATTAGTATTGAGTTCTCCATTGATAGGTATGGTATTTTTTCTTGTAACAAAAAATTTTGTTTAACTTGAATGTATTATTTATTTATTGCAGATATTGATGGTTTAATTACTCAGGCTTTGCTGACGGGTAACTTTGAGAGTGCTGTTGACCTTTGTTTACATGATAACCGCATGGCTGATGCCATTATATTGGCCATAGCAGGTGGACAAGAACTCTTGGCTCAAACCCAGAAAAAATATTTTGCAAAATCCCAAAGCAAAATTACCAGGGTATGTTATAAAAATAGATAAACAATGACATTTATCTGATTATAAGAGCAATACACTATTATTATTGATAATTGAAATGCAGGAAATAGTAAAGAACAAAAAACCTACCTATAATTTCTTGACCCAGAAGTAGTTATTGTTAATAGTTTGGCATGATTATTCCAATTTTTATTGCATGTATAATTTTTAAAATGTAAAAAACTTTTCATATTTTTATCATATAAAAGTTATCATGTGGAAAATTTTAAAGATAAAAATTTTAACACCCCCTAATTCTTCCATCAGATTGGTACATATCTTTTTTTACCTCTTTCTATTATGTATTGGTAGAATTTTTAAAACAGAATCAGGTTCATATATGTATATATACATGCTGTTTTATTTATAGATATTGTCACTTACATTGTGAACATTTTCCCATAGCATTAAAGATTCTTACAAACATTTTTAATTGCTATATAATAGTCTATAGTAAAGGTACATTATTTCCCTTATTTGGGGGTGTTCCAGTAGTTTCGAATATTTTCCTAATGTAGATAAGATGGTGACCAACATTCTTGTTGTGCCTAAAGATTTATACAGATTTCTGATTGTCTGGTGAGGCTGTAGGCCTAGGAAAGGAGAGTTGTCCCAGTGTCAGGCCCATCAGCACTGGTGGTTGTCTCCCCAGCCTTCCTTGTGTTACTCCCTCCTCTGCTCACTTTAAGCCACAGCGGCTGGCTTTCAGTTCCTCACACAATCCCTGTGCCTTTCTCCCTTGTGACTTTGCACCCAGTGTTCCCTTGGCCTGTGATGTTTTTTCTTCTCGATGAAGTTAATTCTGACTTTATATCTCAAATGTCTGTATGCTCAGAAAGTTTTCTTGATCCATCAGACCAGGTCATATCTTCCTGTTAAATGTTTTGATAACACCCTATACTTCTCAGCATTTTATAACTGTGTGCGAATTTTTTTTTTTTTGAGGAAACATAACACCATCTTTTATTTCAGTTGGTTCAAGGATATACTTCACTTTGCTGCCGCCTTATTCTGCATGAAGTACTGTGAATAGTAGTTTTAAAAGATATTATTGATTAGCCAGAGTTAATTTTTATTAACATACCAAAGGCTTTTAATTCTCCCTTTGTTTTCCTTTCCCAAGCTAATTACTGCAGTGGTGATGAAGAACTGGAGAGAGATTGTTGAGTCTTGTGACCTTAGAAATTGGAGAGAGGCTTTAGCTGCAGTCTTGACTTATGCTAAACCAGATGAGTTTTCAGCCCTTTGTGGTAAGAAAATGAACTTTATGTTTATATTATGTATATGGCATGGTATATTGTAAATAAAATTAGACGAATTTTATTAGAAATTTTTGTAAACCTACTAATCACAAATATGAAAAAGTTCTCATTTGAATGCTTTTCTTGGAATTATTAACTTCATTACTTCTCCATGCCTAGTCATTTTTTTTTTTAATGAAGTTTCTTTCTTTTTTTTTATTTTTATTTTTTGGTGGGGAACATTGGCCCTGAGCTAACATCTGTTGCCACTGTTCCTCCTTTTTAACTTTTTTCTTCCCCAAAGCCCCAGTACATAGTTTTATATCCTAGTTGTAAGTCATTCTAGTTCTTCTATGTGGGACGCCACCACATCATGGCTTGATGAGTGGTGCTAGGTCCACACCCAGGATCTGAACCTGCAAACCCTGGGCCGCCTAAGCAGAGCACATGAACTTAACCACTCAGCCATGGGGCCAGCCCCTCATTATTATTAATAATACTGTTTAATGATTTTAGTTTCAGACAGACCAGACATGGGATCTTGCCTCTAGGAGTTACTAGCTGTATGACCTAGGAAAAATTACTTTCTAATCCTTAGGCTATTCATATGTAAAAGAGCTCATAATCAGCTCTCACTTAATAAATCTTAGCTTGATAAAATTAATAATTATAACATTTGAGTAGAAATTACCATTAAAGACCATGACTAAACTAGTGGCTAAGGAATAATATTCATCATTTGCAAAACAGAAGCTTCAGGCTGCTAGTATAAGAACAAACAACTGTGTGCTACTTTGAGAGTATTATGAGAATTCAAAAATTATAAGATACTAACTTTATTGTCATATAATTTATAGCAGTCCTAGCTACTATTCATGTTTATTTTAGATGTGCCATATTTTAGACCACTGCTTACAAAAGTATCTGATGTGATGAAATGGAGTTAAATGTTCATTAGGATTTTTCTGTTCAAATATTATTCCCATTTATTATTTTTTCTAATATGAGTAATGGGAGTCCATTCTATAGCTAGGTATAGAATCTTGTGAAATCATTTGTTATGTACAATTTGTCACAACTCTTCCATTCAACAAATAAATATTTAGTGAGCATTTACTTGACAGGGTGATTTTGTCTCTTCCTGCTACTCATTGGTTGTGAAGTTGATACTTCTGAAAATATTATTGGGCTGCTCATGACCTCGTATACAGATTGCCTTGGGTGTAATTGCCTTATTTCGTTTTCCTCTTGATCTGTAGATCTTTTGGGAACCAGGCTTGAAAGTGAAGGTGATAGCCTCTTGCAAACGCAGGCCTGTCTCTGCTATATCTGTGCAGGGAATGTTGAGAAACTAGTTGCATGTTGGACTAAAGCTCAAGATGGAAGCAACCCTTTGTCCCTTCAGGTAATATCTTTGAAATGAAAGGTGCTTCCCTTTTAGTGTTGTCTTTCACCCCTCTTATATTCTAGGAATTGATTTATTCCAGAAATTCATCGCTTTTTTCCTACTTATTTATGCATTAGAAGTTTTTGTGCTGGGTAATTATGCATATTTATTGCTATATTTGAGGGGACAGAGTTTGAGATAATGGGACCGTAAAATGGGATTGCAGCTGTTTGTGAGATCATGGTTGTGATTTGGTAGTTTATTGGAGCAGTAGGTGGAAAGAGCATGAAAACAGCCCTCAGGTTTACTCTTTTTCCTCATGCTCCCCTCTCTGCCTCTGCTGACCCTGTCTGCCTTAGGCAAAGAAAGAAGCAATGTGGGGTAAGGAGTGGGGGGCACCCCAGTGCCAATGGAGAATCTTCATGGTTAAGGGAAAATGAAAGTAAGGGGTAAATGGAATCCCATGTAGCACCAGTACACGGGCAAGAAGGGAAGTAAAAGATGTGGGGACTACTCTCGGGCACTGAGTAAATGTATATTAAGATTTTTTTCCTAAGCATTTAATCAGTAGAGTCTCATGATGTTTCAGTCTAATATTTATCTCTGGAAAGAAATTTTGTCAGTAGGGTGGTTGTTTTAAAGATCACTCTATTAAAACTGAAAATCTGGTAGGAAATCAAGGTTTTCCTTCTAAGTGTTTCTAAGAGAAAATACACTTGTTTCTCACTTCTGGACTTGTGTACCTACGAAGGGCAAGATATTCTTGTGCTTTATACCTGAAGCATAGCTCCCCATTTTTGAAAGAATTGGTCTTGAAGAACAACATGAGAAACTTTAGATTGAAATGGTGAGCCCATTTCGATGTCACCTTGTAGTAGTAATATTTTTATAGTACGTATAGATAGTATGATGTTGATGTTTTACTCATGGTTCCAGCAGCTATGCTGGAACCCAGTTTCTGCCTTTGCACATCTGCCTATCACTTTCACTTTGGATATTTGCCTATTTGAGTTCACAAGACAAGCAAGCATCTGGCAGTTTAACGATGTTTAGGAGAAGGTGGTAACCTTTGCCCTATCCATGAGTACTTCTTACTTTTTCAGTTCCCTAAATGGTGGTCAACTATTGCAGACCTTTCTAAGAGAGATGGTAATAGGTACTGTACTTTTCGTAGGTTTTGGAAATCTTAGTAACTCAGTATCTTTTCCAGCTTCCTCTCATACACATCTTGGTATCTTTGTTTCTCTTTCACTCCTTCTTTTTCTCACTTAGGATCTGATTGAGAAAGTTGTCATCCTGCGAAAAGCTGTACAACTCACCCAAGCCGTGGACACTAATACTGTAGGAGTTCTCTTGGCTGAGAAGATGAGTCAGTACGCCAATTTGTTGGCAGCCCAGGGCAGTATTGCTGCAGCCTTGGCTTTTCTTCCAGAAAACACCAACCAGGTAATTAAAATTGACCATTTTTCATCTTTTAATGTCTGAGTAAGGTGAGTCCAGCAGATAGTACTCAATATTAAACATAAGCATACTAGTAGGTGGAATGTTTTGGAGCAGTTGAATTTCTATTACCTAAGTCTAGGTGAATGTTATTGACGATTCTTCAAGGATCATTTACCCAGGCTGTGTCAGAGAGACAGGATGCTCTTGTAGTGTGATAGATCCCCTTGTACTGAGGGGCATAGTATTTGAGGAAAATAAATGGGAAAAGAACCAACTTTTTGTTTCTTAATCCGAATGCTGATTCTGTGTATAGGGTTCTTTGTAGGAATCTTCTATGTTGAAAAGCTATAAATGTTAATACTTACTTGAACAAATGGGGTTCTAATTTTAAAATTCCCTGACAAGTGCCACCCCAGATATTAGCAAAGAACTTCATTCTATATGCCATTTCAGTCTGATACCATCTGTGGGTGAGTATATATTAATTTTTTATTTGAGTTCGTAATAGTTTACATCATTGTGAAATTTCAGTTGTACATTACTTCATGCCTGTCGCTACATAGGTGCTCGTCTTCACCCCCGGTGCCCACCTCCCCCCTTCCCCTGGTAACCACTGAACTGTTTTCTTTGTCCATGTGTTTGTTTATATTCCACAAATGAGTGAAATTATCTGGTGTTTGTCTTTCTCAGGCTGGCTTATTTCGCTTAGCATAATTCCCTCCAGGACCTTCCATGTTGTTGCAAATGTGATGATTTTGTCTGTCTTTTTTTCTGGCTAGGTAGTATTCATTGTATATATATTCACCACATCTTCTTTATCCAATCATCAGTCAATGGACACTTGGATAGTTTCCATGTCTTGGCTATTGTGAATAGTGCTGCAGTGAACATAGGAGTACATATATTACTTTGGATTGTTGATTTCAAGTCATTTGGGTAGATAGCCAGTAGTGGGATAGCTGGGTCATATGGTGGTTCTATTTTTAGTTTTTTGAGGAATCTCCATACTGTTTTCCGTAGTGGCTGCACCAGTTTGCATTCCCACCAGCAGTGTATGAGGGTTTCCTTTTCTCCACAACCTCTCCAACATTTCTTATTTTTAGTCTTAGTGATTATAGCCATTTTAACAGGCATAAGGTGGTATCTTAGTGTACTTTTGATTTGCATTTCCCTGATGATTAGTGATGTTGAACATCTTTTCATGTGTTTATTGGCCATCTGTATATCTTCTTTGGAAAAATGTCTGTTCATATCCTGTGCCCATTTTTAGATTGGGCTATTTGTTTTTTTGTTGTTCAGTTGTGTGAGTTCCTTGTATATTATGGAGATTAACCCCCTTATCAGATACATGATTTGCAAATATTTTTTCCCAATTGATGGGTTCTCTCTTGGTTTTGATCCTAGTTTCTTTTGCCTTGCAGAAGCTCTTTAGTCTGATGAAGTCCCACGTGTTTATTTTTTCTTTTGTTTCCCTTGTCTGAGAAGACGTGGTATTCAAAAAGATCCTTTTAAGTTCAGTATCAGAGTGTACTATCTGTGTTATCTTCCAGGAGTTTTATAATTTCAGGACTTATCTTCAAGTCTTTGATACATTTTAATTTTATTTTTGTGTATGGCGTGAGATAATGGTCTACTTTCATTCTTTTGCTTGTGGCTGTTCAGTTTTCCCAACACCATTTATTGAAGAAACTGTCTTTTTTCCATAGTATGTTCTTGACACCTTTGTTGAAAGTTAGCTGTCTGTAGATGTGCAGTTTTATTTCTGGGCTTTCATTTCTGTTCCACAGATCTGTGTGTCTCTTTTTGTACCAGTACCATGCTGTTTTGATCACTATGGCTTTGTAGTACATTTTGAAATCAGGGATTGTGGTCGCTCCACCTTTGTTCTTTTTTCTCAGTATTGCTTTAGCAATTTGGGGTCTTTGGTTGCCCCATATGAATTTTAGGATTCTTTGTTCTATTTTCATGAAGAATGTCATTGGGATTCTGATTGGGATTGCATTGAATCTGTAGATTGCTTTAGGTAGTATGGACATTTTAACTATGTTTATCCTTCAAATCCATGTGCATGGAATCTCTTTCCATCTCTTTATGTCATTATCTATTTCTTTCAATAATGTCTTATAGTTTTCATTGTATAAGTCCTTCACCTCCTTAGTTAAATTTATTCCTAGATACTTTATTCTTTTTGTTGTGGTTGTAAATGGAATTGTGTTCTTGAGTTCTCTTTCTGTAAGTTCGTTATTAGAGTAGAGAAATGCAACTGATTTTTGTACGTTGATTTTGTACCCTGCCACTTTGCTGTAGTTATTAATCATTTCTAATAGTTTTCCAATGGATCCTTTAGGGTTCTCTATATATAAGATCATGTTGTCTGCAAACAGTGAGAGTTTCACTTCTTCACTCCCTATTTGGATTCCTTTTATTCCTTTCTCTTGACTAATTGTTCTGGTCCAAATCTCCAGTACTATGTTGAATGAGTGGTGATAGTGGGCATCCTTGTCTTGTTCCTGTTCTCAGAGGGATGGTGTTCAGTTTTTGCCCATTGAGTATGATGTTGGCTGTGGGTTTGTCATATATGGCCTTTATTATATTAAGGTAATTTCCTTCTATCCCCATTTTGTTAAGAGTTTTTATCATAAATGGCTGTTGGATCTTGTCAAATGCTTTCTCTGCATCTGTTGAGATGATCATATTGTTTTTATTCCTCATTTTGTTAATGTTGTGTATCACATTGATTGATTTGCAGATGCTCAACCATCCCTGTGTCCCTGGTATAAATCCCACTTGATCATGATGTATGCTCTTTTTGATATATTGCTGTATTTGGGTTGCCAATATTTTTTTGAGGATTTTTGCATCTATGTTCATCAGTGATATTGGCCTGTAGTTCTCCTTTTTTGTATTGTCCTTGTCAGGCTTTGGTATCAGAGTGAGGTTGGCCTCATAGAATGTGTTAGGAAGTGTTCCATCTTCCGTAACTTTTTTGGAATAGCTTGAGAAGGATAGGTATTAAATCCTCTCTGAAAGTTTGGTAGAATTCCCAAGGGAAGCCATCTGGTCCTGGGCTTTCATCCTTTGGGATGTTTTTGACTACTGTTTCAATCTCTTCACTTGTGATTGATCTATTCAGATTCTCTGTTTCTTCTTGATTCAGCTTTGGGAGGTTGTAAGAGTCGAAGAATTTAGCCATTTCCTCTAGATTGTCCATTTTGTTGGCATATATAGTTTTTCATAGTATTCTTTTATAATCCATTGTGTTTCTGTGGTACCCATTGTTATTTCTCCTCTTTCATTTCTAATTTATTTATCTGAGCTTGCTCTCTTTTTCCCTTTGTAAGTCTGGCTAGGGGTTTGTCAATTTTATTTATCTTCTCGAAGAACCAGCTCTTTGTTTCATTGATCCTTTCTACTGCCTTTTTTGTTTTAATAGCATTTATTTCAGCTCTGATTTTTATTATTTCTTTTCTGCTGCTGACTTTGGGCTTTGTTTGTTCTTCTTCTAATTCAGTTAGATGTAGTTTGAGTTTGTTTATTTGGGATTTTTCGTGTTTGTTAAGGTAAGCCTGTATTGCGATGAATTTCCTTCTTAATTGATTTTTGCTGCATCCCATATGAATTGGTGTGGTATGTTTTCATTTTCTTTTGTCTCCAGATATTTTTTTATTTCTCCTTTTATTTCTTCAGTGATCCGTTGCTTGTTCAATAGTGTGTTGTTTAGTCTCCACATCTTTGACCCTTTCTCAGCTTTTTTCTTGTAATTAATGTCTAGGTTTATGGCATTGTGATCAGAAAAGATGCTTGTTTCTTAAATTTATTGAGGCTTGCCTTGTTTCCCAACATATGGTCTATCCTTGAGAATGTTCCGTGTGCACTTGAGAAGAATGTGTATTCTGCTGTTTTTGGATGGAGTGTTCTATATATGTCTATTAAGTCCAGCTGGTCTAGCTTTTCATTTAATTCCACTGTTTCCTTGTTGATTTTTTGTCTGGATGTGAGAGGAGTGTTGAGGTCCCCTACTATTATTGTGTTATTATTAATGTCTTCTTTTAGGTTTGTTAATAGTTTCTTTATGTACCGTGGTGCTCCTATGTTGGGGGCATAGATGTTTATAAGTGTTGTTTCTTCTTGATGGAATGTCCCTTTGATCATTATATACTGCCTCTCTTTGTCTCTCTTTACCTGCCTTATCTTGAATGTCCAATATAAGTATTAAAACACCTGCTTTCTTCTGTTTGCCATTAGCTTGGGCTATCATCTTCCATCCCTTTACTCTGAGCCTGTGTTTGTCATTGGAGCTGAGATGTGTTTCCTGGAGGCAGCATAGTGTTGGGTCTTGTTCTTTCATCCATCTTGCCACTCTGTGTCTTTTTATTGGAGAATTCAATCCGTTTACATTAGGGTGATTATCAATATATGAGGGCTTACTGCTGCCATTTTATCACTAGTTTTCTGGTTCTCCTGCTTTTCCTTTGTTTCTCATCCTGTTTATTTTGGTCTACCAATCGAGTTGTGTGGTTTTTTATGTTGTGTTTCTTTGTTTTCTCCTTATCTATTATTTGTGTCTCTGTTCTGCTTTTTTGTTTAGTGGTTACCGTGAGGTTTGTATTCAAAATTTCATGGATATGATAGTCCCTTTTCTGATGGCCTTTTATTTCCTTAGACTAAACTGATTCAGTCCCTTTCCTCTTCCCCTCCTAAGTTGTTTTTCTCACATCTTATTCCATCTTGTGTTATGAGTTTGTGGTTAAAATGACAAGGTTATCTTTGGTTCTGGTGCTTTCCTCCCCTTTGTCTTTAATGGTATACTTGAGTATTTGCTGTTCTTCTCTGATTCTGTCTACCTATTTATCTCCTTACTCCATGCTTTGTAACCCCTTTCTCCCTTTTTTGTTCTTCAGGTATGAGGGTCTTCTTGAGGATTTCTTGGGGGGATGGGGGAGTCTCATGGCTATGAACTCCCTTAACTTATGTTTGTCTGGGAAAGTTTTTATTTCTCCATCATATCTGAAGGATATTTTCACTGGATAGAGTATTCTTGACTGAAAGTTTTTGTCCTTCAAAGATTTGAATATGTCATTCCAGTCTCTCCTACCCTGTAAGGCTTCTGCGGAGAAATCCACTGAAAGCCTGATAGGGGTTCCTTTGTAGGTTATTTTCTTCTACATTGCTGCTGTTAGTATTCTTTCTTTGTCATTCACTTTTGCCAGTTTCACTACTATATGCCTTGCAGTAGGTCTCTTTACATTGACATGTTTAGGAAATCTGGTAGCCTCTCCCACATGGATTTCCATCTCCTTGCCTAGGTTTGTGAAGTTCTCTACTGTTATTTCTTTGAACAAGCTTTGTGCTCCATTCTCCTCTTCTGCTTCTTGAATATCTATAATTCTTATGTTGCATTTCCTAATTGAGTCAGATATTTCTTGGAGACTTTCTTCATTTCTTCTTAGTCTCAATTCTCCCTCCTCCTCTGTCTGGAGCTTTTCAACATGTCTATCTTCAATTATGCAGATACACTCCTCTATGATGTCCACTCCAGCATTCAGGGAATCCATATTTTGTTTTATTTCTTCCGTTGTGTCTTTCGTGTCTAATATTTCTGATTGATTCTTCTTTATAGTGTCAATCTCTTTTGTGAAGTAGCTCCTGAACTCATTGAATTGTTCCTCTACATTCTCTTTTAACTTGAGTTTTTTGATGATAGCTATTTTGAATTAACTGTCATCTAGATTACATATTTCTGTGTTGTCAGGATTGATTTCTGGGTACTTGTCATTTTTCTCTGATCTGTAGATCTAATATAATGTTTGATATTGATAGAGGGAGTGACTCTGTTTTTTTTACATCCTGGTGTTATTTGGTCACAGTCACCGCCTGTCACCACTGGGTGGGGGTCAAGAGCCATGTATTCTGAGCCCTCTGCCTTCCACAAGATCCCAGGCACTAGAGCTGGGCTGGGCAGGTGGGGGGAGGAGCTTTCTTCTGCAGGCTCTCAGGGATTTCTCACTCTCCTCTCACTATCTGCTCTCCTGAGTGTTGGCTTGATAAGGGCACCCCCTGTGAAAGCTTTTGCCCCAGTACAGTGCTTCCTTCTAGGCTGTAAGGGCCCACCGGGGATCCTTGATGTTCCTGCAGTAAACATCCCCTCCCCTGTCCTTTCTCTCTTGGAGACCTCCCGTGGTCCTGGATCGCAGTCTTTAGGGGAGGGAATGAAATTTCCGTTTACCCTATTCCACCTCCTCTGAGTTGGGCTCCAGCCTCTCCGCCCTCCATCATATGGCTGCATGGGTCCTCTGACATTTTTCTGTTATATTTGGATGTTCTCTGTTGGAGTATGAATGTCCTTTTCGTTGTATGTTGGAGGGGTTACTGGGGAAGCTCACCCTGCCATGATGCTGACATCACTCTTTGGGTGAGTATGTTTTTAAAGTATTTTAAGGCAGAGGGAAATACATTACATTCATAATTTAGTGTCCTCATTTGGTGTGCAATAAAACAGGATTTTTCATCATTTTTTTTCAATTCAATTCAGTAAGTAACTGAGTATGTAGTGATGAACCAGATTGTCAAGATCTTTTCCCTAAGGGAGTTTCCAAACTCAAAATGACTATGGATGAGTAAACGTGGGATTCAAAAGTGATATGTGATATGATCGAGGTAGTAGTGCTGTGGGAGCACAGAAGAGGGAAGCCTAAATCCACTAATTGAGCATGAGTGGAAGTTGGGGTGGGGTCTGAGGAAAGTTTTCACAAGTAGGATGTTTATATCTGTATTGTGTGTCTGACACAGCTTAATTTTGAGCCTTGCAGGTATTTTCTTGTTTCTATACTTTTTATTGTAAACTTCTTTCTGTTTTTGATGGATGTTTTTAGTTTTCAGTATTTTGTCTGTTCTAGGGAATTATCAATAAATTTCATTGAGTAAAAATACTTAGATCTGTGTTCGAGGACTATGGAGATATGACTTGCTGGTTGGTTTTGTATATACTTACATATAGGATCTAGCTCATATCTTTCTAAATTGTTAATGAGAGGATTAGATTGAATAGAAACATAGTCTTAACTTTATGATGACTTTGACATAATAGTTTTATATGACTTTTTACTTAATAAGGTCTCATTATTTTGTTGAGATATAAGACACTTTAAGAGTAACTTAATCTAAGACCTTTAGATTGTCTAGCCTCAGAATTAAACTATTTTCAATACCATTTATAACCACATACATTTTCTGTACATTAGTCTTCATGCTTTTCTTTGGACTTTTAAAGGACATTCTTTGTGCAAAAATCGTAATTTTGATGTTACCTCCTCCTATGTATCACAGTAGACACTTGGTATTTTCTGGTGAATATGTCCTGAGACTTTGTGTTATCATTATAGTTAATAATTCTCCTCTATCAAAGGCAATAAAGTATACCAAAAAAGTTTAAATGACATCGTGAAACCTTTAATGAATTTATGGAAATTTATAATTTTTAAAGATATTAAAATAAATTCTTGCTAAAACATTTTAACATTGCTTTTTTGTTCTTATTATCTAGAAAATGTATATGGTCAACTCATACTTATTGTAGATCTGTATAATTGTAGATGTGTATAAGCTACCCTAAGTTTGACACCTTACTCTTTTAATTGATTTCAAACATCTCTTTTTTTAAATTAATTTTTATCTCTTTCTTAGATCACCATTTTCTTCCATTACCATGTTTAGCAGTTGATTCTCATTGGGGGCCTTTTTTCCCTACAAAGAAGCACAGTTGTATTTTTTTTAACTACTTCTGTGATTTGCGAGAATTGCTCAACTACAAGAAAACAGCAAAAGAACAGTATTGATAAGTGGCATTGATCTTACATACTACCATGTGGCAGGCATAATTCGAATCCCTGCCTGAGTTAAATTACAAGTTACACTGTATATCATGGACCTTTCTTTGGTGTCAGTCTTGAGCGTTAGAAAACATGATGTCAAAACCTGATATACCAGGGTCTGTTGTATAGTACACAGCATATGGACAAAAATCATATGCATGATCAAGCTTATTGAAGAAAATCAACATGCTGTCATATAGTTGGGTGAACTCTTAACAATTTGCTTTGTTTTCTTCCATTGCTTCTTGTAGCCAAATATTGTGCAGCTTCGTGATAGACTTTGTAGAGCACAAGGAGAGCCCACACTAGGGCAGGAATCACCTAAAATTCCTTACGAGAGGCAGCAGCTGCCCAAGGTCAGGCCCGGACCGGTCGCTGGCCACACACAGATGCCAAGAGTTCCGACTCAACAATATTATCCCCATGTGAGTGATATGCTGTTCAAATTGGTGGTTTTAGTTTGTTGGGTTAGAGACCTTACCTGTTGTGATAAAGCTAGACAACATATTGATTTAATAATTATACTTTTTATATTCTTGAAAGTGGTTTGTTTTTTTTTTTAAAGATTTTATTATTTTCCTTTTTCTCCCCAAAGCCCCCCTGGTACATAGTTGTATATTCTTTGTTGTGGGTCCTTCTAGTTGTGGCATGTGGGACGCTGCCTCAGCGTGGTTTGATGAGCAGTGCCATGTCTGCGCCCAGGATTCGAACCAATGAAACACTGGGCCGCCTGCAGCGGAGCACGTGAACTTAACCGCTCGGCCACGGGGGCCAGCCCCTTGAAAGTGGTTTTTATGATTTTTTTTTTGATCATTCCTCTAATCTAGTCAGACAGATTATATTTTAGATGTAAATTAAGCTCTCTAGGGGGATTTCTTCTTGTTTTTCCATCACTCAGACTTCCTTTACACATGTACCTGTGTTCTTGAAACTTCAACAGTTTGATTCATCTAGCAAACTGTAAGTAAAGTAGCAGGAACAATTTTGTGGTGATTTGGTTAATTTTATAAAATATTTTTTGAAAGTAGTCTTTTATTGAGTATTCTTTTCTGATTCATTAGTATAGGTTTCCTTTGTCTTCTGTATCAGCACAATAAAGAACATCCAGAATGCAAACTTTTTTTGGACAACTTGGGTCTTAGCAAAAAGTGAATGACCGAAGGTTTATGAAGCTGTAGGTCATGGGGAATGTGAAGATGATTAGATCATTCTTATTGATTAATTAATTTAAGTAAAATTATCAAACATTTAGTGGCATAAAATGTGTCCTCTTATTGTCTTTTACTATTTCATATGGAAAATTATATTTCAGACCAGCAGATAAACTTTATGTTCTTAATTGAGAAGTATATTTTCGTAAGTAATAAATGGTCTTGATTGATAAAATTCATAGGTACTCTGGCCACTTGAAAATAGAATAAATTGCTGATAGAATTGACAGGCTCTTTTTTACATTTCACTGTAGCAGAAGTAAATATGAAATCATGAAAAACTAAAAAAAAACAATTAATGCTCTTTTGTTTATTGTACTTTGATTAGTTCTTAATCAGAATAGATTACATTTGAATATAATTGTAACTATCTAGAGAACTTTCTGTTTTGTTTTTTCATTCATTTGACAATTTATTGAGAGCCTACCGTGAGTGCCTATCTTTATTCTACCTGTTGAGGGTATATTGGTAAACAAAACAGAGTACATTCCCCACTCTTGTGGAGATTGCAGCAGGCTTAGATAGTCTATGACATAAGTAGAGCAAATCATGTGATGGCTGGGAGAACTGAGAGGTGGAGAGTTCAAGCAACCATCCCAGAGTTTTAAGATACCTCGAAGTTTGAATTTCTCAGCATTGCGTGGCTGGTTAATGTCCAGCTTGGAATTGGAACTCCCAGGTGCCTTGAGTTCTGCCACACTGTCTCTCAGGGTACTGAAGTAAGGCATTCTCTACCTTGGAAGAAGAGAATATTTTACTCTATATGTCCTTCAGTTTATCTCTTTCTGGGAAAATGTAAAAGTATTGAAAGACTTTTGTTATACTTTGACTTAGGAGTTTCATGCTTTAAGAAAAACAAATTCAATCATAAACAGTGATTTTCTTGATTAAAGTTTGTGATAAGCTGAGTAAGGATAGTAGCTTGTGGTTTTAAAGGACTGTTTATAGGCAGAAGTAAAGGGATAAAAGGGAGGTCAGATTAGTAGGAGTGCCACTCCCATTTCGAACAGCACATCTTTTCTATTAATTGTTTATAAATTGGAGTTTCTACAAAGATTTACTTGACGAAAAAGGTTTTGGTAGCTTAAAAAAAATGTTTGAAAACTTCTGGACTCCAGGGTAAGCAATATGGCATAGTGTGGCAGACACTGGCTTGGAATCAATCCTAGCTTCATCACCAATGCGTTGTGTGGACCTCAGCACACTCCTTCATTTCTCTGGGCCTTGGTTTTCTCAATGGTGAAGGAGGGGGATTAGACTGGATGATCTTTAATATTCTCTGATTGTATGATTCTAAGCCTCATATGGGACTAATATGATTTTTGTGGCTCTAATGAAATCCAGAAAAGGGAGCCTACCGCAATATGTTTACAGATCATATAGTAGCATGAATACTATTAATGCTTCAAAATCACTTTTTTACTCAATTATCTTCTTTTTTTCGGAATGTCTTCTTTCTCTCCCTACTTACAGGACCTAGCTCTTCCCCCTTATTCTTGACACTTGAATGGCATTGTTCTTTGTGCTTTGATTTGGGTTTTTATATTGATTTTTCTACTGCCTGCTTCCCCATGTTTTGTTGTGAATGTGTATTTTTCTTTTGGAATCCCAGCTACCTTGGAAGCAATTGCCTGACTAACGTATGCCATCTTTCTGCTCATATTTTTTGCTTTGCATCTGGCTATTAATGCCGTTTGGGTTTTTTCTTCTTCTTCTTCTTTTAACATTTCCATTTTTTATTTTCTGTGATTAGTATTTCTTTGTTCAATTCAGGTTAGAATTGCCCCTACTGTCACTACCTGGAGTAACAAAACTCCTACCGCACTTCCCAGCCATCCACCTGCAGCCTCTCCCTCTGACACACAGGTATATCTTCGTTATTCCTCTTTGAGCAGAATTCTGCTCACCTAAATATATATATAGTTATATGATCTTTACCCCCCCTTTCTCAAGTTCCTCTCCCCCCGTCTGTCTGCCTGCTTGCATTTTAATACTTTTGGGATGCAAGAAGCAATTTTTAGCACAATTTATTTTCTTATCCTTCTCTCCTTCTTTTGCAGTTCTAAATTGACTTGAGCTAGAATAACATCAACCAAGGTTCTAACAATGGTTTAAATCTAATTTCATTGAAGATATTTCCTTTTTCTTTTCTTTTTTCTTTTTTGTGAGTATTGCAGAAATTGAAGAGAAGCAAAAGTTCCCTTGTGGCTTTTATACTTAATATTTCCAAAGTGAGGAGTAGAGGCTGGAATTTAGTAGATATGGACAATCCTGGTGACACATTATAAATATCATTGACACTATGTTATGAGACTATTAGCATCTGTTGCCATTCATTGCAATTACTACTTTGGACCTGTCTGATCTTTAAATCACTCACAATGCGTTGCTCAGAAAATGTGTTCTGAAGAAGATAGAATGTATAACATGCAATGTTTCTTACACAATAAAGTTTAAAAAAAAAAAAAACAGTTCCATTTCAGAGATTATAAATCTATCTGGTAAGATTCTTGGTTCTAAATGTAATCCTCCTCTTTACCATATTCTCATTTCCTAGGGAGAAAATCCTCCACCTCCAGGTTTCATAATGCATGGAAATGTTAATCCAAATGCTGCCGTGGCACCACTTCCCACCTCTCCAGGTCATATGCACACCCAGATACCACCTTATCCACAGCCACAGCGTAAGTAGCCTGGCCGCAAGTCCTTTCACACAGGCCTGTCTTATCTAAAGTAGTAAGCATTTACTTTGAAGCTCCAAAGCCATGATCAAATCAATTTTCACAAGTAGAGAAAGAACCATTCTGTGTCAGACTGGAGTCCTTGCTATAGAGAAACATGGTTTCCCTAGGAAGCATCCTGAATCAACAGGCTAGGGAACAGCTCCTATGTCAGTCCGTTCAGAACAGCTGGCTCCTCTTCCTGCACCTTTACTAAGACCTGTTAAAGAGGGTCAGTTTTCCCATGATTTTGGTATAAAAAAATAGAATTTTAGAAATTATTTTGTACATATTCTTTTCCTTCAAGCAAGATGAGACAAATCATTTTTGGAGAAATGGTTCCCAGGGACATTTGTTGTTGTTTTCCATTTATTTTATTTTTTTAAGAAATAGACTTTATTTTTTAGAGCAGTTTTAAGTTCACAGCAAAATTGAGTGGAAAGCACAGAAAGTTTCAGTATCCCACCTGCCCCCATGCACTACCTCCCCCTCTATCGACATCCTGCACCACAGTGGTAAAATCATTTGTTACAGCCGGTAAGCCTACACTGACACATCATTATCACCCCAAATCTATAGTTTACCTTAGGGTTCACTTTTGATGTTGTACATTCCATAAATTTTGACACATGTATAATAATGATGTGTATCAACCATTGGCTTTTGTTTTTTTAGAAAATGTTTACACTTAGAAAGTAAAATATCACCATTATTTAAAAAATTAAATGAAGAGCAAAAAGATAAAATCTCAAAGAGGAAAATTGTATGACTAAATAACTATTACAAAAACAAGAGGCCATTACCTAGTAAGAACTAATCTTAATGAGCATCATGCTAACATGGATGTTCTTACTTAATGTGAATACAAATTTGATACAACTTTTCACTCAGGTGCTCAACATTGAAAGTGCAGTCTTCAGAGTAGAACCAGTACAGTTCTACTAGGTGCATTCTGTAGAGGTTCATCCCTATTCCTGGTCATGCAGAATGTGATGGCATTCAGATCTCCAATCTGGATTCAAGTCTTTGCAGTAACACCTTAGTTGGCTGCCTCATTGCTTACTTACCAACTATGTATAGTATGTGAAATATTACATAGGAATGGTTTTGTCAGGTGTCCTAGAGACTATTAATCTGGAATGGTGCTCAAACTCAGAATTTGAGTAGCTGATGATTTTACTAGATGTTGGTGAAGATATTTGATTCATAACAATAATATTCACCCTGCAGTTCTTACAATGGGGGTGATCTTGAGCTGCCACCAAACTCCTTCTAACCTTTACTGTGAAGGAGAGTCCACATTGTTCCATCTGGTGGCTGGTAGGTGTCACTGCAGTCTTTTCACAGAAAGAGGAAGTCTCAGAAAAGGGTCAGTCTTGCAGTATTGGGTCTGATGAGCCAGATTTTCATAGCCAGCAGCAATCTGGAGATGGCAGCGTTCAAATATTGGATCCAGTGACTATTAGTACATTTAGGACATCTGAGCTATCAAAAGTGTAACTTAAGTGTTAATGTTTGGTTGTAACTTATTGTTATAAGAAGAATGATGAAAATAATTTCCATAGAATGAGATAATTTTGGTTTTCTGTTGCTGTCTGAATAAACTTGTGACTAATTAAAATTTCTGTTTCTTCTCCTTGGTGTAGCTTATCAACCAGCCCAGCAGTATTCCTTCGGAACAGGGGGGTCAGCAATGTATCAACCTCAGCAGCCTGTTGCTCCTTCTGCCTCAAACGCTTACCCTAACACCCCTTACATATCTTCTGCTTCTTCCTATTCTGGGCAGTCTCAGCTGTACGCAGCACAGCACCAGGTCTCTCCACCTACCTCCAGCCCTACTGCTTCTTTCCCTCCTCCCTCTTCCTCTGGAGCATCCTTCCAGCATGGCGGACCAGGAGCTCCACCATCATCTTCAGCTTATGCACTGCCTCCTGGAACAACAGGTACACTGCCTGCTGCCAGTGAGCTGCCTGCGTCCCAAAGAACAGGTCTGCGCTTGAAAGAGTTTTGGTTTGGCTCCCTCCTTAATTTTTTCATGAACACATGGGTGGATGGAGGGGAATTATTTCCAGCTGTTTGTAAACTGAGTAATGTGAGGTGTTGATTGAGCTTCAATAACAAATTCTAAAACTATTTCTAAAAGTGTGATTCTCCCATAATGAACTTTAGTTGCTAAATGAGGAAAGCTTTAGAGCCTGAGAAGGATAAGAGTGTATAATCTGCCATTGAACTTAAAGTAAGTGGTAAGAAATTAATTGGCAAGATAAGTGGTGTTTGGAACCAGATTTAATTGACACTTTCTTTACTAGAGCTAAACTATGCTCTGTGTTCTTACTGAGAAGTTTTCAGTTTTTACAATTGTACCTTAAACTCATTCATGGAGATTATTCAGTACAGGGTCTTAATGAGGTGGTACAGATTTTTTGATTATGTTTATTTGTCAAGGTGAGGAGGGATCTTAATATGCTTATCTAAAGGAAAAAAGTGAGAGAATACAGCTCGGACAGACTCTCTAAGAGAGCAGCCAGCCAGTGTACAGCAGTGCAGTGATTCTCCATTAGCCTAATAACCACCCTCTCAAACATTTTGGAAATTTCTACTTTTTTATTTGTTTTTTGTCTAGTAGTGTAGTTACGCCTGAAATTTCCTAACTAAAATCCTAATTTTAAATTATTTTTATAGTGAAATACATGTTTTGTAAATTATTTTTATCTCTCCTGTTAGACAGAGTGTTGTATTAATTTTTTATGGGTAGGTTATATTATCTGATTTTCATTTTAGGATCATAAAGGGGCATCAAAAGCATGTGTTATAAAAAGGGATCAGTGAATCAGACTTAAGAACCACTAACGTAGTGGTTAGGAAGACAGGCTTTGGAATTAGACTTCTTGGGTTTGTATCCCAGCTTCACTACTTTCTGTTTACGTGACCTTGAGTAAGTTGCTTAACATCTTTAAGCCTCAGTTTCCTCAGAATAATAATAGTACCTACCCATAAGCTTATAAAGAAGATTAAACACATTAATACAGTAAAAGCATTTAAGGACAATGTTAGCTGTGATCACATAAAACCTCATGTAAAATTAGAGCTCTGTGCATTTAGGTGTTTGAAAATAGTTTCCCTTTCATATTATAACTGGTGGTTTTGAACTAAAGGGGAAAAAGATGAGTGAGTCTTGCTTTGCTCCTAATACTCAAGTTGCTTCTGGGAATTCCAGTATATATTTTTCTCCTTTTATGTGCTAAGCTGTAGCTTTAATTACTGAAAACACTTGCCATAAAATAGGATATATTGAGGAAGTGTTCTTTTCTAATAAAGTCTTATGGATCCAGAATTATACATATATCTCCTCCTTTCTTTGATATATAATATTAAAGTCCAAAGTATCAAAAAATCACACACATGCACAATATGTATCACCCTTTACTGCATAAATAAAATTTCTATAATTTTCAATACATGTAGTTCAATAGGTTGATATTTTTAGAGAGGAGTGATAATTCAGTTCTTCAAACAAAGAGTTCAAAAAATTACCTTTTATGGAGCTGGGGTCCCCATGGCCTAGTGGTTAAGTTCAGCACTCTCTGCTTTGGCAGCTGGGGTTCAGTTCCTGGGCATGGACCTACACCAGTCATTGGTGGCCATGCTGGGGTGGTGACCCACATCCAAAATAGAGGAAGATTGACACAGATGTTAGCTCAGGGGTGAATCTTCCTCAGCCAAAAGAGAAAGATTGGCAACAGATGTTAGCTCAGGGGCAAATCTCCCTCAGCAAAAAAGGAAAAAAAAGGCCTTAAGGAAACTTGAGTTTTCTAGGAGTTTTGCTTTTTTCTTTTTTAAAGATTAACACCTGAGCTAACAGCCATTGCCAATCTTTTTTTTTTTTTCCTGCTTTTTCTCCCCAAGTCCTCCCAGTACATAGTTATATATTCTAGTTGTAGGTCCTTCTGGTTCTGGTATGTGGGATGCTGCCTCAGCGTGGCCTGACAAGCGGTGCCGTGTCTGCACCCAGGATCCAAACCAGCGAAACCCTGGGCTGCCGAAGGGGAGTGTGTGAACTTAACCACTTGGCCATGGGGCCGGCCCCCTCTAGGAGTTTTATATTGTTCTCCTGATTGTGGGGTGATAGCCTCCAAGTTGAGATACAAACCCAAGTCTCTGAGTCTACAAAGCCCATGTTCATTCTTTACTGGATAGTTTAGTCCTGATGTGATAGAAATAGCTATCAGTGTTGGAATTACAAAAATCATTTAGCAACACTTTTAGGCATTTGTTACTTCATCATTTAAGTTAAATATTTGCATGGGTATTTTTTTCTCCTTAAGCAAAAGTGCATTTGGCCATGTGATAACATCTTTGCTTATATACAGAGTAACAGACTGTTCTAATCTGGCTGAGAAACAGTCACTAATAGGAAGAAGCAGCCAAACAACGATTTTTCAGTGTTCGGCATGCACTAAGCTGGCTGCTTTGTTACCTCTTGCATGTTAATAGTACCCTGTATTTCAATTAACAGTTACAGCTTTACATATTGTATTTTTTGACTTCCTAAAAATTTTGCTAAGGTCATACAAATAATTATCACTGGAAATTTTATCTTTGTTCTAATGTGTCTTAGATCATATCTTGGTTCTCTGTAGGAGTTGCAAATTCCACTTGTCCGGTGACTAATTCTTGACAGACACTGGGATTTTCAAGCCCTCTAACCATTAGTGAACCAGAAAATTATATGCCCATGGCTCAGAAAAACTAATGTTGCAATGATCAAAACGTTCAGTAAATTGTTACTGTTCAGTCTGTATCAGAATTTTTCAAGGCAGAAGTAGGGAGGCAAAAAGGACAGTACATTTCTAGTGAACAGCGCATAGCTTTGCTGTAAGTTGGCACATGAAATTGGCATTTGGGCCAAATTTTGGAAAGCCTTAACTACTAGGGTAAGAAATTTATACTTCACACAGTAAGAAAAGAAAGGTCCTCGTGCAGGGGTTTGAACTGCTGAGAGGCGTGGCCACAGTGGCACCTGAGGGAGGTTAGTCAGGAGGGCCTACAGAATAGATTGTGGGCAGCGTGGCAGGAACAGAGGCGAGGGAAGCAGGCCCTCTCCCGGTTTTCACTGTAAAATGGGAACAGCCTGAGTTAGGATAGTGCAAGGTTGTTTCAGTGGTGGCAGCACAGAAAGCAGGACGTTTTCCCTGTTTTACTGTCTAGAATAAGTAGGATATTGCCTGTCACTTTTTTTTTTGGTCCCTCATTTAATATGTGCTTATTGCTAGGGGAGAGCACTTTCAAATATGTAGGCCGTAGAATTTTACTCAAAAAAATTGTTTTCTGATAAAATGACCTTCAAGGTATCATGAAGCTGTCTTTGAGTAAACATTGGTTTTCTTAAATAATGGCAAATTTAATTTAGGTATATAGTCTTAGGCTTCTTCACATAGAGTAGTCTTGAAGGGGCATGATATTGCATATTTTCATGAAAGAGTATTCTGAAAAATTTTTTTTTTAATTTTCATAAACATTCCTTAGTCAAATTATAAGTATCTGGTTTTAACATTTTAAGTAAAGGAGAGGAGCATGATAGCCCTCCTTACTTTTCTTTGGAAAATTCTGTTTTATCTCGTGTCATTGGAAAATGACCTTAAGGATTCATGTCTTTCTAAATTTTAATTTTTAATTTTGTAACCCTTTTATTTTCTGTTGTGACATACTAGGCCTGTGAGGGAAAAGGAGAGGTATGTGGTTGACAAAGATGCTCTATTCTCTCCATCTCAAATTATCTTCTAGCCAAAAGTCTCCACACCATTGGCACTAATATTTTCTGTGAATCCACTGAAAAGTATCTTAGCCAGTGCATACATCCTATCATTATGCTCCTGCAAGAATACCTATGAACGTTCCCAGTGAGAAGTGGGATTCAAGTAAGGATGGTACGCAGCCCCACTCCTGCGTTTGAGACCAGGCAGTTCTCTCTTCTTCCCCAGAGACCCTGTGGAGAACTAATCCCGACACTAAGGTGGATAAGTGTCTCTAGTATCCAGTGATGTCCCATATTCACTTTTTAAATTAATTTTCCTTTGATTTTTATTAATTTTTCACTGTAGGATTTTGAAAGACTCCAAATAGTATAAAGAATAAAATTAAAATGATCTGTAATTCTAACACCCAAATATAACCACTAATAATTTAGGTTTATTTATTCACTTCATACACATATATACATACATATATGTATGCTTGTATGTTCACATGTATTAAAAAAACTTTTTAATGTGGTAAAATATACATAACATAAAATTTACCATTTTAACCATTTTTAAGTGTATAGTTGGGTAACATTAAGTACATTCACAATGTTGTACAACCGTCACCACCACCTATCTCCAGAACTTTTTCATCTTCCCCAACCGAAACTATGTACCCATTAAATCACTCCCCATTCCTCCCAGTCTTGGTAACCACTGTTCTACCTTCTGTCTCTATATATTTGACTACTCTAGGTACCTCATATAAGTAGAATCATGCAATATTTGTCCTTTTGTGGCTGGCTTATTTCACTGTCTTCAAGATTCATCCATGATGTAGCATGTGTCAGAATTTCTTTCCCTTTTAAGGCTGAATATTATTCCTCTGCATGTGTGTACCACATTTTGTTTATCCATTCATCTGCACCTGGACATTTTGGCTATTGTGTATAATGCTGCTGTGAACATGGGTGTACAAATATCTGTTCGAGTCCCTGCTTTCAGTTCTTTCGGGCATATACCTAGAAGTGGAATTGCTGGATGAAATAGTAATTCAATGTTTAATTTTTTGAAGAACCACCATACTGTTTTCCACAGTGGCTGTACCATTTTGCACTCCCACCAGCAGTGCACAAGGGTTCCAATTTCTCCACATCCACACCAACACTTGCTTTCTGTTTTTTTGATTCCACCTATTCTAATTGGTGTGAAGTAGTGTATCATTGTATGCATGCTTTTTTTTTTCTTTTTTTTTAAGATCCTGTTTTTCTTTTTTCCCCACAAAGCCCCCTGGTACACAGTTGTATATTTTTACTTGTGGGTCCTTCTAGTTGTGGCATGTGGGATGCCGCCTCAGCATGGCCTGATGAGTGGTGCCATGTCCGCCCCCAGGATCTGAACCGGTGAAACCCTGGGCCACTGAAGCAGAGCAGAGCTCACGAACTTAACCACTCGGCCACGGGGCCGGCCCCCAATGTGTGCATGCATTTTTAAAGAATTGAAATCATAACACACACATATAATTTTACATCTTACTTTTTTCTTAATATTGTACCATGAGCCATTTTTCCATGCCCTTTTAAAGTCACATCATGTTTTAATAAGAGTAAGAGTTTTATCCCCATTTTATAGTTTTTGAAAGAGTAAAAAAGATTATCTCCTCTTTACAGTTTTATGAAATAATTATGCCTAAGATGAGACTATGCTGTGCTGAATTTTTTTAAATGTTGACCAAGAGTATCCTTTTGCACATCTCTAATGAACCTCCATAATACTGTCTCCTGTCTATCTCTATAAAGTGGAGGTCAATTTAATTGTGTTTTTAAAAAGTCTATTTCAACAGTCAATTTAAAGACAAATGCAAAAAGATTGGAAGGGGTTCGAATTACAGCTGAAATAAAACTGCATTAAATTGAGAAGAGATTTGACCAAGGATTATCTGGGCGGAAATGAAATAAATGGCTAAACGCGGTTTGAGGTTAGGAGGAGTCAGTTACAGTGTGCTTTGAGGGTAACTTTGATTATTGTACAACTGTTACTGTGTATTCAACAGACACCCCACCCTCAAGTTGTGCAGGCTAGCCAACTGGCTGGTTGTTCCTGTTGAGAATCTTTTTGTTCCTGATTTGATTCAGTTTCACTCTTCAGCTTTGAATTTGGTTTGATTTCTGTATAACTTTGGTGTCATTTTACCCAAAGCTCATATGAAATCGCCCCACAAAATTTTTTGTGCTGCTAATAGATTGTGAAATCAGGATACCATCTGAGGTTTTAATACCCAGGTCTTAAGTCCTGCCATGAGGTTAGAGGAAAAACTGCTCTCATCTTTTGCTCATGCCTCTCATGGGGCAGGAGAGGAGGGCGTGTTCTTGAGACTGCTCCCTGAAAAAAAGGGTCAAGGCCAAGGTATTTCCACTACTTTTAGGTTTGTAATATATCGGCCCCCTCAGCCCAGAAGCTGAAGTCTGGTGCTGGAGAATTCATCAGTAGTTGCAAATCAGGTCAGTCGTCTGTCGTAAGGCTCACACAGTGACTCCCAGGGATTTATTAACTGTAGTCCTGTGAGGTCATATCTTACATGGGAAGTTAGGTTGTAAAGTCATCGTTTAAGGCAAAAATAGGAAATCACTTATAGTCAGTTATCCTTCATCACTCCTTTCTTCAGTTAAGCCCTCGATGAACAACTTGGCTCATGTTGAGGAGCCATATTGTATGAAAAACGTCTATCCATAAACCACACAGTGAGATTTCAAGATATGGGGTTACCTCTCCCACCTCACAATTTCTCTGGGGCATGTGCTTCTTGAAAAGAACTCAAACTGAATTGAACTCACTAATTAATTGCTATATTCTTTTGGTTTGTCTGTCCCCAAATGAAGATAGTTGGATTTCCATAAGTTATATGTACATATGATGTACCTCCACTGCATGCTTTTGATTGGAGGCCAGGCCAGGCCTGACCCTGAATATCTGACAGTTTTGGATTTGCTGTGTTAGTTTTCAGCCGCCTTTCCTCTTGTCCACTGCCAGAAACTTAAGAGAAATAGTGATTTCTGGAAGACTTGTGCTAAACAGTCTACAAATCCATATATTCTTACAGAAAAGACTATATTATATATTAGATGGTTACATATTTACTGGGCCTGTTCTCATTTGTGCTGATATCCATGGTGTGACCCCAGAAATTATAGTTTCTCTAGAATACGGACCCTTGGCGCCTCCCAAATCTAGCGGTCAAGTGGCACCACCTTGTTAAGATTGTCTGACATGCTTATCTTTAACAAGTACAGTGCCGAAGTCTGCAGGACAGTGTAGAAATCTCTCGTTTCTCTTTAAATCCCTGCTTCTGAAAGAGGGTATTGACCAGCAGCATTGGCATGACCTGGGAGCTAGCCAGAACAATAGAATTTCGGGCCCTACGCTATGCCTGGTGAATTAAAATCTGCATTTTATTAAGATCCTTAGGTGATTTGGATTCACAGCTTTATAATACTAAAATGGACACAGTAGTTATGTTAGGAAGTGCTCTCCCTTCAGTGATACTACTGAGCTTCATTGATCAAATAGTAGAGAAGAATCCATGCAAACAATTACGGAAATGTTATTTTAAATAGGAAGAAATAAAATTTTCTCTTAAAGAAGACAGCTAGCTCAGTAAGAGAAAAAAAAGTGATATTTAAGAGTTTGTTGTGTCTGACACGACTTAATTTGCTTTCCCCAAAAAGTGGTTGCTTTCTTAATTAGATAGAAGGCATTTCATGTGACTTGATTAAAAAGTACACTTTGTTCCCTTATAAAATTAGTTTATTCTTTCTGGGGGTTGATGGAGGAAGAAACAATTGCAAAATGCGCAGAGTTTAGAATGTCTTTATTGATAATACTGTTTAAGTGACTTTTACATTTTGTCTACAGAAAATCAGACTATGCAAGACCAGCCACCTATATTGGAAGGTGAATTGGTTATAAAATATATACCTTTAGAAATCTTTGAATCATTGAATACAATTAATGAATGGACATTCATAATAATGCATGTGAACTTCAAAGCTGATAATAATCCTAAATCTGATCATTATCATTTTTTAATTTAACTTCTTTTTTGAATCAAATCTTAGAACTGATTGGGGGTGGGAGGAAGGGCGAAATAGGTGAAGGGGATAAGAGGTACAAACTTCCAGTCATAAAATAAATAAGTCATGGGGATGCAATGTACAGAATAGGGAATACAGTCAATAATGTTATAAAAGTCCTATGATGACAGATGGTAACTAGTCTTATTTATAAGGGTGATTATTTTCTAATATAAATAAATGTCAAGTCACTGTGATACACTTGAAACTAATACACCTGAAACTGCAATTTAAAAAAAAAAAGTCTTAGAACTGATTGAATTAACATGGTGACACAAATAGCTTTAAATCATGAAAGTCATCTGTTTTATACAGCATCAAGACAACGACTATATCAAGATTGTCTGAGATATGAGTAAGATTAGAAGGTGATGGGAGAGATTTGAATGATTCATCTATGTATGACCAGAACTTTAAAAATTTGTTAAGCAGATAGCAGCCTGTCGTTTAAGATTTTGTGATTAGCTCTTGAGTGTTTTGAGGCTTATTTCACATTCTATCTCCTAGTAAACTTGTAGAAAACTAATTCTATTTTTAAAATCAAGGCAAATGATTATACGCTGATTAAGAGAAGTTGTTTTTTAAAAAATTTCTACAACATTAGTATGAGTCACAACTTCTTTGGTTTGCTAAGCAATTTTGTTGTGGTATAATATTGTGGAGATCAATAAAACAAATAAAAGGTAAAATACTGAAAGAATGGTTAAGTTGTTGAAAGAAGAGTAATTTTTTGTCTTTACATATACACATACCCCAAACTCAGTGAAAAGTCAAATTATTATATTGTGATTGAGAAATTATCCTATCTTATTTCCGGTATGTTTTATTCCTTTTTTCTTTAAAGATACTGACATTAAAGTATTTAATTAGTTCTGCTACTTATGTCCATTTCTCACTTTGAGGTGACAAAGTTTTTTTGTTTTTTGTTTTTTAGAAGAAATTTCCTAAAGTTGACTAGTTTAATCTTATATTGACTGGCAACCTAGAATTTTTTTTATGGCATTGAAAAAAATGCTTATCAGATATTTGAATGCCCTTTTCTGCTTTATAAGTAATTCCTAAGGCAAAGATGATAAATATTGTTGATGTCGTGTATTTAAGGTATGTTCTTTTAACAATATTGCTGTCATTTGAATAATTTGCTTACCCTGACTTGCTTATGTTGAATTGCTGTCTTGGGAAATAGGAGGTTGCTACTTTTATTCTTTTTTGTATGTTGAATATATCAAAAGCCTTTTTTTAGCAGACTCAAGTGATTTATTTTTTTCTTTATTAGGAGAGAACTGTTAACTGATCTTTGATCATTATACACCAGTATAGACATAAAGACTTCACTGTCCTTAAATATAGCACAGCTCTTTCACTTTAAATGGAAATAATGTCAAGGTGTCTTGCCTACTTAACCAAGGTCTTGTGATTATTAGAGATAATGAGTTTGAGAATCCAGGGCTACAGAGTGATCCCCCACAGCTCAGCTGGTAAAACTTTTGTGATAGTTATCTCAGGGTTATGGCAGAATTTGAAGGTGTTATATGATAAATACAATTTAGTTTTCTTCTTTTAAGGATTCTAAGCAAACTGTCCTCTATTATCTTTTTTAGGTCCTCAGAATGGTTGGAATGATCCTCCAGCTTTGAACAGAATACCCAAGAAGAAGAAGGTACTGGAAAAAGATGTCCATCCAGTTGTAGCCACCTGATGTGCACCACACTTCACTGACCCTTTTAAAGGCAAAACTTACTGACTGATGTATTTAAAGTATATTTCAACTTGCATCTTCTAATCCGTGAAGGGACGGAAAAAAAGTAGAAAACAGTATGGTGGTATGAATTAAACCCCTTTTAGAAGGCAGGATGTAAATTCTCAACAGGTCTCTTTCAAAGAGTAGGAAACAAAATTTCAGGCTTCTCAAATGATTTATTGTTGGAAGTTACTTTGGTCTTTTGGCTCCAGGAGTAATCATGAATTTGGTAATTATGTTTTGGACTGTTTTTGTCTATCACATATAATATGAATGAAGAAATAGCCTTGTAGCTGAGCACTGTTGAGATGTCAGTAACTGTTGAGAGCTATTAGCACACAAAATAAGATTCTTCTTTCCTTCTTTCTCCCCAAGTCATTTTATTTTCTACCTTTTTTTTTTAAACTCCTGGTGATCTCCTTCCCCCAAGTATAGTGAGAGGCTATAACATAAAGACACTAAGTGAGCAAGAAAACCTAAAATTTAGGTTAGTAATAATCAGAAACAATCTTCTACAGTCATGCGCTACATAATGACATTTCGGCCAACGATGGACTACATATACGACAGTGGTCCCATAAAATTAGTACCATATAGCATAGGTCTGTAGTAGACTATACCATCTAGGTTTGTGTAAGTACACTCTATGATGTTCACATAATGACGAAAATCGCCATTTCTCAGAACATATGCCCGTTGTTAAGTAGCGTAGGACTGTACTTTTAGTGTGATTGAATTGATAGGTAATACATACCTAGTGATCTAGGAAAAGAGTATTACATGCTGATCATGTTAAACACACATTTGGTTATCTGATTCCAGAGTTTGTAGATATAATTCCTCATGCTTTGACATCCTCTTTCAAAAACACATGGTTTTGGCTCCCCATTATGAGAGTAAGTGTGGAAGGCAAAGGGGAAACTGAGAGGTCCAGGTTTATGCTCCCCACCCCTTTTAGTCAGATAAGCTCTACTTTTATATTTTACTCTAGAATTCTGCATAAAATTTCATTTGAAAAAAGTATTCTACTACTATTTAAAAAATTTTTTAACCATGAAATAGTCTTAATTCCCTTATTTAAAGCTGAGGAAATGTTGCTATTGGTTTTTTCTTACTCTTGGTGTCTTTTATTTCCATCTTCTGAAAGATGCCTGAAAACTTTATGCCTCCTGTTCCCATCACATCGCCAATCATGAACCCCTTGGGTGACCCCCAGTCACAGATGCTGCAGCAACAGCCTTCAGCTCCAGTACCACTGTCAAGCCAAGCTTCATTCCCACAGCCACATCTTCCAGGTGGCCAGCCCTTCCATGGCATACAGCAACCTCTTGGTCAACCAGGCATGCCACCATCTTTCTCAAAGCCCAATATTGAAGGCGCCCCAGGGGCTCCTATTGGAAATACCATCCAGGTAACAGTAAATCTGTGGAAGTGGAATGGGGAGATAGCTCTATTTCAGTACATTTTTTTAATGTGTTAACTTTTATAGTTATACTTTTATTAACAAACATCTAAATTTAGTTTCAATTTAGACAACCTAAATAAAAAATAGTACTCTTTTTTAAGATTAATCATGTATGTATATTATTTTTCAATGAAATGACCACATACAAACTTTCTAGAAGAGGCTTATATATTTGCCAGTCTGTGTTTACTATAACCTGGCAATTGCGGCGTTTCACTTGACCTAATCAGTAGCCACAATTTCAGGTCAGTTGAATCATATACATATCCACAGTTGCAAAGCAGAAGCTGTTTCCAAAGATCTTTCCCTTTAAAATATAAAAATGTAGTTGTTATATCTTTTCTTGTGTATGTGTAAGAGCTAACAACTTGTAGGCTTATCTTTGGATGGAGATAGAAATTCGTACTTGCTTTTCACATACAAACAGCTAGTTGGCAGGGTTCTAGACCGTGAAAAGTGTATCACGTTTGTATATAACTGACTTAGACATACAAAGATGAACATTTTGATCTATTCATGAAAAGTAAAGAGCTTGGGTCAAAGTTCAACATAAGACAATGAAACAGAAACAGATTCCTGCCCGAGTATGAAACTAGTTCTTCTGTTTTTGACTCATTGAAGTCAAATTTGGAAAGATTGTATCTCTATCACAAGAGTATACTTTGCTGTTAAGAGCGAGTTCTGCCTAAGAAACTTCTGAATGTTAAAAGTTACATTATAAAAACCAGTGTTTTGATGGAAGTGGGAGGACTTGCTTCTTTCCACAAGAATATCAATTGTAAAGACGCGTGTTAATTTTGTTTATGATTACAAGTCTGTGTTAGTTTGGGAAGCTACTTAGCCGTTCACTTTTGTTTAGACCTGGGTGCTCATGCTGTGCTCATCTAGACCGGAAGCTCAGTTACCATCGAAAGGGAGAGCTTCATAGCTGTATGTGTTCAGCCAGGCCGTAATATCCAGCTACCTACCTACATGGATGTCTCCAAGGCGCCTCCACTCAGCATGTCCAAAACCAAATTCATAGTCTTCTTCCCAAACCTAGTCTTCTTTTAGTGTTTCCTGTTTCAGTGAACAGCACCATAATCCTTTCTGTTTAATCCAGCCAAAAACCTGGGGATCATCTTTATACTCTTTTTGCCTTTAATCTCTCTTTCAAATCTGTCCACAAATCTTGTTGATGTTACTTTCGAGTCTCTCTCGAATCCCTTCTTCTCTCTGATTGCAGTCTGGCCACGATAGCTTCATCTCTAATCCTCAGCAATGCAGGAGCTTCTGATTGGTCTGCCTGCGTCTGCTTTGATCAGTCTCTAAACTGGTCTTGTCTCCTCTCTGCTTAAAACATTACAGCTCCCCCTTCTTCTCAGGATAAAGACCACAATATTTCACATTGTGTGGAAGCCTTCAGCTCATTGTCCTCCTTGCTCTCTCTCTGCTCCAGCCACAATGGCCTTCTTTTAGTCTCCTTGTGTCACGATCCTTGCTTTGCACATGTTCGTCTTCTGTCCTGAATGCTTGTCCTTCCCTATTTAACTGGTTAGCTCCTACTCATCCTTCCGATAGAACTTCCTGAAGAGAGCCTTCCCCTCAGGTAAATCCCAGTTATAGTTTTTGTTGGTTCCACTCACTACCACAGTTACTATTTTACATGCATTTAGGACTTTTTAAACTTTCTTTCTCTTCCATTAGCCTGTAAACTCCCTGAGGGCTGAGATCATTTCTGTATTGGCTCACCAGTACATAGCCAGTGCCTGGCACAATATTACCTAATATTTTTTGAATGAATGAACTAATAAGTCAAAACTTTAAAAACGTTAACATTCTTTCTTTGTTTTTCCATTTATCCACTCAGTAAACATCACAGTCTCATCTATCCTAACCTTGGGCTTAATCTTGCAGTTTGATAATAGCCCAGTTAACAACCTTAAAGAGTAAAGAATAGAAGGGGCCAGGTCGGTGGTGTAGTGATTAAGTTCACGCACTCCACTTCAGCAGCCCGGGGTTCACAGGTTTGGATCCCGGGCGTGAACCCAGCACCACTCTGCAAGCCGTGCTGTAGCGGCATCCCACATAAAATAGAGGAAGATTGGCACGGATGTTAGCTCAGCGATCTTCCTCAAGCAAAAAGAGGAAGATTGGCAACAGATGTTAGCTCAGGGCCAATCTTCTGCACAAAAAAAAATAGAGGAATGCCAGGATAAACAAAAATGAGCCAACAAGCAGAGCAAGCAGCTGCTCTAACCAGCCAATTTTGTAAATGCTTTGTTCTTTTTATTTCCTTCTGGCACAGGTCTACTTCCCATCAGTTACATACAATAGTGATGAACATATATCCCATAATTAATCAAACACCTTATATCCAATCCTGTTTTTGAAAATTGAAGCAGTAAGAAGAGTGCCTCTACCTTCTGCTGGATATCTTGTTTTCATTTTTGCTTATCCCGGTTGATTTCACATGTTAATTTTTCATTTGATTTTGAATAGCCTGTCTATAAGGTAGTTGGTTTCCCTTGATCACAGAGTTGCAGGATATTGTGTGTAAGTAGCTTCTGGTCATTTCGTGGTCATTTTATGGTATTCTTTCTTCCAGCATGTGCAGTCTTTGCCAACGGAAAAAATTACCAAGAAACCTATTCCAGATGAGCACCTCATTCTAAAGACCACATTTGAGGACCTTATTCAGCGCTGCCTCTCTTCAGCCACAGATCCTGTATGTGTTTTTTTCATGTTTTGCTTGATTAAAATAATCCTTTATGGAGCTCTTCTATAGTTATTGCTTGAAGTCCTACAAGATATATTTTAAAAGTTTGCACAAAAGTCATAAAGCTAGCGCTTACGTAGTTTGCTTTACATGTAAAAATGTATTTAGTTGCTTTTTATATTTATAGATCTATTTAATCCTCACAACAACCCCATGGTAGGTAGACTTGTCATCTTTATTTTGCAGATGAAGAAATTAAGGCAAAAAGCTGTTACGTAATACCAAAAGTCAGAGCCAGCATTCAAACCAGGTCTGGCTCCAGGCCTCATGCTCTCAGCCACTGTGCTGCCCTGCCTCTTCTCATCCACAGACCTCCTGTTTGGCACATAAATAGAACAGAACAGTGATGTGCAAGAAATTCAGATTTGGGGTTTCTTTCTGAGCTTACAATCAAAGCTTTTAAAAGTAGATAGATAATCTTTGCAAAGATCTTAAAAATAGTTAGGTGTTTTAGATATTGGAGTCAATTAGTAGTTAAAGCAACTGATTTTGCTTAGTTTACTTAGAGAAGGCCTGTGTGTTGGCAATAACAAAAATTCCAGAAAGCCAGTCTTGTTTTATAAGATGAAATTTCAATTTCTGCCAACAAACATTGAATATATTTATTTAGCCACTGGCCACTTGTCTGCTTGAAAAACAGGTTCTGGAATGTGTTGTTTCATCAAACGTTGAGTATTAATGTGTGCAGCCTTCTGGTCTTTTGGAAAGCAATTCCCTGTACTGAAAGTATCAGGAAAGCAGAGGTAGGGATAGGTTAACATAAACTATGCGCCTGGCATTCTGGGAGTGATGGAAAGACAGAGCTGAGAACAGAGAGCAGATGAAGCTGACAGCCAGGTATACACTATCCCCTATGCACACCTCTGAATAGGCAGGCCACAGTCATTCAGATTAGAGCAGTCTGAATAAAAATGCAGGAAAACTCCAGTCCTCCTTCAGGCTGAGTCAGGATGGAGAGGTTGGGAGGACACAGTACACAGCCCAGCTTAGTAAATTCTGTTGAGTTTGACCTTCTTTAGTTACCATTCCATCTTCCTTTTGGGTCTGCAGGAGCCCTGGGCAAAAGAGAACCGCAAAGGACAAACTGTTCCTGTAATTCCTGTATCTAGTTGGGAAAGAAGTTCTAACATCCTGTGCTGCCCAGCTGCCCCCACCCCCTCAGGGTAGGGCTCCTGCTGGTGGCTAAGTGAGATTAGCTCTGAAAAGGGATTGTAAGGGTTCCCCTCTACACGAGTCCGTTTTAATCACTAGTTGGAATCATTTTTATAGGCTGCTTTCTTCCTGTTTTCACTTTAATTATGTCCAAAAACCACAAAGTAATTTTGCAGCACAACTTAGTCTGTAATGTTATTCTTGATGGCCTCATCTCTTCCTCCCTCCTCTTCTGGCACATTGACATTCCTTACTCAAACACACCAAGAGTGCACCAGCCTCAGGGACTTTGTACTTGCTGCTCCTTCTGCCTGGAACTCCTCCCCCCCGTAACTGCGTTGCTCACCCCTCACTTGTTCCGGGCGTCTGCTCACACGTTCCGTCAGCCATCAGGCCTTCCTTTACCACCCCGACACCCAACACTTCTAGCCTCCTAGCCCTGTTCACTTTTCTTCATGTCACTCATACAACATATTGTTTATTTAGTACTTTTTCCCCACCCAGTAGAATATGAGCTCCGTGAGACGCAAGGCTGTCTCAGCATGGCACATAGCAGGCCCTCGAGAAATACTGAAAAACAGTGTCACTTCGAAGGCTGTTGCGTAGTATAGATCATTAAGTTAATCACATTGTAATTTTAAACCTTTAATTTGAGCTTGAGAATAGTTTTCTCTCACTAATAGTACTAGGATTTGGGGGGGAGCTCCTTAATTTAAGAACTCATTTTACTACTTTTCTTAGTAATCTTAAGTCACCAGAAGATAATTTCCTTTTTTTCTTGGTCTTTTGAAGGCTCAGAAAGAGGCAGGATTAAACATGTCAAATGTGACTAAGTGTATAAGTCATATTTTTGAAAAGTTAAAACAAGATTCCAGGACTGGCCCCGTGGCCTAGTAGTTAACCCTGGCATGCTCCACTTCAGTGGCCCAGGTTCAGTTCCTGGGTGCAGACCTATACCACTTGTCAGCAGCCATGCTGGTGGCGACCCATATACAAAATAGAGGAATACTGGCACAGATGTTAGCTCAGGGCGAATCTTCCTCAGCAAAAAAACCCACAAGATTCCAGTTCACCTATATATCTGCCTTCTAGCACCCATAATGTATAGTACCTGCACTTAGACCTTCCTTTCTCTAGTACCCGGCCCCATTGCTGCCTCCAGATGGCCCTTCCTGTTGCTTGTGGATATAGTACAGGTGTACGTGCAGACACCTTGTCAAGTGAGTCTACAATCCACGTGAAATCCAACCAGTCCTCCATTTTGCACACCGGAAGGAAGAGGCTCGGCCTCTCGCTCTCCTCCCCCCATTAATAGAATACTGATCTCTGTCCTATGTAATCTGTTCAAGTTTCTTGATCATTGTTGTTTCCGTTTCTTTATAAAATGAAGCTGTTTAACATGAGTGTAAGGTTTAGTGAAATGAGATAGGGCAAGTTCTTGGATAAAAGTTAATGTTCAAATATAACATATCTGTTTTTCCTCTTCTGCAGCAAACCAAGAGGAAGCTAGATGACGCCAGCAAACGCTTGGAGTTTCTATATGATAAACTTAGGGAACAGACAGTAAGTTTATGGGGAAAAGAGAGATTTATGATAATCATTTATTCCTGGCTGCTAGGAGAATGCGTGTCCTGTCAGCGCTCACATAGAGTATGCTTGTGGGCAAAGTTGTCTTTATAGAACGGGCTTTGCTCTAACTGAATCTTAAATCTTGTTCAGTGGGAATGAGGGGATAAGGCAGAGTGTTGTGTGAGAGAGAAATTGTAACCTTTCTTATGACAGAAAGTAGAAATACAAACTGGCTGTATTGGCCCTAACGTAACTGGTCTTCTATTCATTTTATATGTGCCTTGAATCAAGAAATCAGAGACCACATCTGTACCCTGTCATAGTCTAAGACTTCTGGTCCTTTTCTTCTGGAACAGCTGTGACATAAAGGCAGAGCCAGATGTAGCCGCCAGATGAGCAGATTATTGTGCTGTCACTATGAGGACAGCCAGCAGTATGAGGACATGCACTGTGTCTTCTGTTCCTTTGTCCCCACCTCTCCATTCCTTTCTGGAATATTTTCGTTTTATTAATGAAAGCACTAGAATAGGAGAGCAAAAAAGAACTGGGACTTTTCTTATATTTTTGCATTTCAGCATTCCTCTTCCCCATTCCCCACACCAATCCCATCAAATAAAAATAACCAATTATCTCAGAACCAAGCTGAAGAAAGTTGATACAACAATGGAAGTGGTGTGGTCCTTGAACTGATCTAAAATAAAGTCTTCCCTCAAAAGTATGGGCATGTAAGCCAAGTAATGACATGGAAAAAAACTAGAGGTTTGATGGTTTTAAGAGCTGACAGGATTGTAAACAGCAGTTAGTTGGTAAATTGAGTCCGTGAAGAGGCTGTTGCTGTGCTAATAGAAGTAGAGCACAAGCTCAGGACCTCTGCTGTAGGCAGTACTTTAGAATACGCGGGGTTCTTTGAGATAGCATGACTGAGAACCTTTAAACTCCTTCATGTGCATGGGAAAAGTCTGAAAAGGTGTGAGGCTGTGTCTGAAATAATTGAAGAATTGAAGCTCTTACGTGGAGAGACATGTTAGCATTTCAGCGTGGGGAGGGAATCTGGCTGCTTTTCCGTAAGAAAATACCTGGCTTATCATACATGTATAATCATAAATAATTTCTTTACATAAATAATTTTGTCATGATTCTCTTTTGTAACTTAAGTGTTGCTTGGTCCAAGAAACTATTTCCAGAAATGCTAAACGGTTTATATCTTTTTTGTAATGTCTGTTTCAAGTTGCTTTTAAATATCAAGGTTTAATGTTTGTAGAGGGTCTCATTGGAAATTCTCCCTTAACTTAATTCTTTCTCTTGGTTCCACCTTTATTTCAGCTTTCACCAACAATCATCAGTGGTTTACACAGCATTGCAAGGAGCATTGAAACGAGAAACTACTCAGAAGGGCTGACCATCCACACACACGTCGTGAGCACCAGCAACTTCAGCGAGACCTCCGCCTTCATGCCAGTTCTCAAGGTCGTTCTCACCCAGGCTCATAAGCTGGGTGTCTGAAAGGACAGCGTCGCTCCCGGCCGATATTGCCATTTTTCCAAAGAAACATGTTTTAAGAAATGATATGATATGGACCAGTCCTTATTCGCATGTTTCCATAGCAGCCAGTCACAAGCCTTTCTTTACACTGTTTCTGTGGATGTACTCGCCTTAGAAGCGCTCGAACCCTGGTGCTTTCTTTTGTTTTACTCTTTTGTTGCCCACGATGATTTTCCTGTTCTGCAGAGTGTATTCCCTGTGTTACACAAAGGATGTTTTCCTGAAGTATTCTGATGAAATATGGTTTTTGAACCCTCGTATACTTTTTGGAAAAGGAGCATCTGGTTATGCATAAAGCAGAGCTAAAACTAAATTTCTTTCATGTCCTCCCTGCTTCCTCCGTGTCAATCAGATTAAAGTGTGTAATCTTATTTTTATGTGTATGTAGTCTTTTTTTAAACAATTGCTCACAGTTTAGTTTAATTCCTAGTTTTTGTGTCTTTGGCTTTACTCTGGTCCTGAACAAATAACTAAATTTAAAGCTGCTACATAGATTTTAGCAAATACCAATGAAAAGTGGGATCACTAGCTTTAAGTATCTATAGGAAAAGACTGAGCATTTTCATTCTGTAGAATGCATTGAACTTTTTTCTGTTAATAAATATTTTCAATATTCTATTGGAGTTTTAAGATTGATTTTATATATTGAACTTATGTTTAAGTTCAGAAAGAAAACTTTAATTTCTGTCAGCTTCCTGAATCAAAGCCAGACATTTTTTGGCCAGTTGTTTTTGTCAAGTGATTTTATTATAATCTGTCTTCAGAACAGAGTGGTGGAGGCCGGCCCCATGGCCGAGTGGTTAAGTTTGCGCACTCCGCTTTGGCAGCCCAGGGTTTCGCCAGCTCGAATCCTGGGTGTGGACTTGGCACCACTCAAGCCATGCTGAGGCGGCACCCCACATGCTACAACTAGAAGGACCCACAACTAAAAATACACAACCAGGTACCGGGGGGCTTTCGGGAGAAAAAGAAAAACTAAAATCTTTAAAAAAGAACAAAAAAACAGTATGGTAAACCAAAGATAATGGTCTGTATAGAATTTTGAGAATTAAATGCTAATAATTTTTCATTGTTTATGCAAGTTTACCTAAGTAAACTAGAAAATAAACACTGCTCCTGCCATGGAGGTAGAGGGGCTGTTTCAAGGAGTCAGAGGAGTTCGTCAGGGTTCTGCAGCCTGAGTGAGAGTTTCCAAGAACCTCTCAATTTCCTCTGTCAGGGATTCCCTACTCACCAAATAAAACTCCTGTTTTAAAAATCAGCCAACTCTGGGGCTGGCCTGGTGGTGTAGTGGTTGGGTTTGCCCCCTCCGCTTTGGCAGCCCAGGGTTTGCAGGTTCAGATCCCAGGTTCAGACCTATACACTGCTCATCAGGCCATGCTGTGGTGGCGTCCAACATAAAAAATAGAGAAAGATTGGCACAGATGTTAGCTCAAGGGCAATCTTCCTCACCAGAAAAAAAAAAACCCAACTCAATTTATAGCTCAGAATGCTTTCATAACTAACAAAAGGAGGACTTTGATGGGCTGTGTGAGCATTGGAGCCCCAGGAATGGGGTGATATTTGGCACCCTGCTCTTCAGTCTCCTGGGAGTCTGAATCAGTTCTATGATTCATTGAAATGGCAACTTGACCTTCTGGACCTGGCCCTCGACTGGGGTGCCAGCCCAAAACCCCGTCTGAGCAGCAGGCTGGCCTGTATTAATTCTCTCCATTTATTGCCCTTACAGTGAGGATTTGTGTTATGGCTCCAAGTTTACCCACCACGACAATGGCATAATTGGTAGCATTTTACAAGAGAACAAATTCCTAAAAGATGAGAAACAAGAGTAGGTGGCAGTGGAGCCCTGGCCAACCCCAAAGGTTTTACAAGTAGGAATGTAAAAACTGTTTGCCCCTGACATCTGAGCAGTCATTACGTCTCCTTTTTCAATATAGCATTGTGATGTTTTTCCCCTCTGTGGAGACATTTCTCCACATGGCTTAGAACTGGAGAATTTTCACATGACTGGATGGAGATAAGAAGAGCTGAACCCCAAATAGTGTTTTGTCTCTAAAAGTATGAAGATAATAGGAGATTATGGAAAGAGATTAGTTGTTTTCCTGAAGAAAAGAAAACAACTTTCAAAAAGTGTTCTTTTTTTAAAAGTAGATAAAAAATTTCAACTTGATTTTGTGAATGAGTCTGTTTTTAATGTTTTCATCTCTGAAGATATGACAGTGCAGGCCTGCACAGTTCAGGCACCTCTGTGAGGCTATTCTTAATTTTTTTTTTTTTTTTTTTTTTTTTGAGGAAGATTAGCCCTGAGCTAACTGCTGCCAATCCTCCTCTTTTTGCTGAGGAAACCTGGCCCTGAGCTAACATCCATGCCCATCTTCCTCTGCTTTATGTGTGGGACGCCTACTACAGCATGGCTTGCCAAGCGGTGCCATGTCCACACCCGGGATCCGAACTGGCGAACCCCGGGCCACTGAGAAGCAGAACGCTCAAACTTAACCACTGCGCCACCCGGCCGGCCCCAAGGGTATTCTTGTATAAAGACCTGGTGTGTGATACAACCACAGCTGGTTCTGTCTTGGAAGATTATAGCTGTACCCTTGCCATTACTTCATATATGGTGACCAGTCCTTCTTTCTGAACCCCAAGCCTGTTCAATTTTGCTGCTTATGTTTTGTGCCTTTTATCTTTTTTAGCCTACTTAATTTTAAAACAAGGAAAGGGGTCTGAGGGAAAGTGATAGGTGGGGGCTGAGTGTTGGCCAGGAGATGTGTCAAAGCTCTGGGGTGGTGCTTTCGTATTGCACCTGCTTCTCGCCTCCGTTCTTCATGCAGCCTTTGGGCTGTGTGGACGCACCCTTAGGCCCCATTTGAGAATGCGTGCATGTAATGGGATGCACAGCTGCTGGAGGTAGTTGTTCAGTTGAACAGTGTGGCAGCAGGAAAAATTGGGAACAGCCGCTCTACACCTGACTGTTGAGCATCCAGTGAACCTGTATATTCCTTTGGATTCAGAAAATTCCCACGCGTCCTGGAGGACAGAAAGGCAGTGGGATTCCTGGCAACTGGATGTACCCTCATTATCCAACACCTGCCTGAAAGATTAAAGGGAGGGATAGTGACAATGCCTTTCTGACAATCACCTGTCTCCTGAGGCAGATTTGGCTTCACCTAAGAATGACTCCAAGGCCATCTGCTGACTCCTCTGCCATGGTGGGGCTTCATATGAACTGTCATGAAGATTTGGCAAATAAGTGTGTGCACATCTGTGTATGTATGCACACATCCATATGCACACATGCTCTCCTCTTTATTGTGTCCTTCCACTGCCATGGTGGCAGCATTCCCAAACACAACCCCTGACAAATCTATAGGCATGTTCATCAAATGCTGGAGATGTCACATATATTATTTCAGACCATTCAATGAATAGAGGGACTGTCTATGCACAGAAAATCTTAACTGTTTAATCATGGACAAACGCCCCAAATCTTTCAACCAAACTAGATTACAAAAAAAAAATCAATCAAATTAGCTTTATAGTTCCACTTTTCCTGGTGCACGATTTGTTTTATTGACACTTCTGTGGCATTGGTTCTGCTCCATGCTTTGGTAACCATACTTGGTAACCATACCAGTCGCTGAGGCTCAGGTTGCCTCATGTGCATATAAGCCTGATTGGGGTCAAACTGTACCATTCTTCAAATTCCAGCTGTTTATCTTTTTTGCCCCTCTGGGAGGTATGGGATGTGTGGGTTTTAAGGTGGTTGGAGTAGATGTTGAAAAATCTAATAAATCAAACAAAAGGAAATAGACTGTGATTTAGCGGTGGTGCATGTTTTTTGTACTCTGGATTAATGTTTCCAGAGACCTGCTAAAGTATTTATTTAGCAAACAGTGTTAATGTTGTTACTACTGAAACACTTACAATGACTTTGTACAAACATCATTACTCAGTAATATCTGAGCTCTTTATTCTAATGGAGCTGCTCTCCCTGTTGCATTTGAATTCGATTTTGGCTGACAATCCATAGGCCTAGAAGCCTATTGTTCATCAGGTGGGCCTGTCTCTTCTTTTATTGCTGATGCTTGTAATTTCCCAAACCCTGACCTTTCTAAAACCACCTTTCGTGTATCAGCGGGCTCACACTACGCAAATGGAGGGGGCAGGACGTCAGCAGCGTTGTGAAATAGAGAAAACCTTCCTATTTCGAAAAGATGCAAGAGCTTGTTGGGTTTTTAGTTCTTATAAGTGAAGTTAAACCTAATGAAACTTGTGTCCACCACATCTCCCATCATGTCTTTTGTACCTTTACAGGCTATTCCGTTTCCCTGCATCTGAGGGTAGCATCCTCGCATTGTTGTTAACTTGGTTTCTTTACTTCAGTAAATATTTATGAATATGTTTTATGCACTTCAGTACAGACTTCATGTCCAAACAGGTGTGTTTCCAGGTAGGCAATCTAAAATGAATTGGTAGAGACTATCGCAGGCACAGAATGCATTCAAATTCAATTAGAAAAGGCAAGTTCCAGACCTTTTTTTCTGAATAGTAAGAAGGTAGTGAGCATATTATATATTTTAAGGGAGCCATTAAGGATGACCTCAGTAAGTATGATTTGGTTAATGATGAAAAAGTACAAGATGAAATGAAATGAAAGTCATTTCATCTTGTACTTTTCCTATAAAGGAACCGCCCACTCTAGGACTAGAATGTGCGGTGAAATTGAATATAAAATCAGAGTTCGGCAGTAAAGAAGGAAAGCAAGCATCTCCTAAAAGTGACCTAAAGTAATTTCCTTTCCTTCTGGATGTATCTCCAAATAACAGATGACCTTCTCTGACCACCATTTCTGCATTAAGGAGTCTCTGGGAGAGAACAAATCAATTCAAGCTGAAGGCAAGTCCACAGAGTGCCCTCCCAGGAGGGACCACTTAGACACACTGATTGAAGGGATCCAACTTTCAGCTGACAGGGCACAGGGCTGGGCACTTCAGTCCTCACAGCAGCCCGGGGAGCTCAGCTATTGATGTCAGGGATCTGGTGCAGCTGGTAAGCAGAGGGATCTGGATTCAAACCCAGGTCTCTGCCTAGTCAGCACATCTTTTTTTCACAAAACCACATTTTTCCCAAAGTAAGGATAACTGCTAGTACAACAAAAACCTGGGTTTTGGTTTCTGATTTTGTTTATTTTCCTCCTCCTAGCCTGCAGAGACTAGCATTTCCCACAAAAGAGGAATGTGTAAATAAATGGGTAAATTTATTGAGCAATGTGTGTTGTCTTCTTTTCAGGCAGGTTCTCCTTAGTGGTGGGAAAGATAGCCCCGGGCAGCCTTGCGATGTACAAAGGGAAGAGGAAACCTCTCACAAACTCCAGACCGCTCACAAAGACAATGCCAGTTGCCTCTCTCTGGGTCTCGTGCCCACTACCTGATCAAGTCCTGCCCAGGGAACCGGGGTACCACAATTGGCCAGCCCAGGTAGTGTACCCACCCAGTGGGAGCACTGCGACTTTAAGCCCCACCAGAACCACATGGACTGGTTCCCCAAAGGAAAGGGTGCAGTTTGGAGAAGAAGGGGAGAAGAGTAGGCCAAAACAACCCAATACCTCCAGCAGATGGCAACAGGGAAGTCACAGCACCAGGGTTCTGGATGAGGGATGCCCGGGTGCTAACAGTTCAAGCTCCTGGGGAGCCCACTCTCTTCCAATTACTACAAATGGTGTCTTCATGATGGACAGTGCAAGAGAGCACCTGAGAGTCAAGGAACTGGGTCTTAGTGTCTTCTCTGCCACTTCCTGTTATGCAAATCATGTGACCTCTTCCTGCCTCCATTTCCCCATCTGTAAAATGAAGGGTAGGACTAGAGATCTCTAATTTCACTTCTGGCTCTGGAAGTCTATGTTCCATTTACCTTTCCCACAGAGTCTTTGTATATTACCCACAAGTCTTCAGAAGAGATCGAAGCAAATTTGGATAAGCACCAAAGCTTTGAAGAAAGATTACAGAAACAACTCAGACCTATTTATATTTGGATACCTTTGGTCCTCTTGTAGAGTTCATTTCTAATCTGAAGAAAAACTAATGCAGTCCTTTCCTTGGTTGGAAATGAGTAGATAGGCATTAAAGAAACTGCTTGCAATTTGAGGACTTGGGACAAATATACTCACTTGGCCTTGAGGTCCTTAAGCAGTGAGTCCCTCTCAGTAATGAAATGTATTTCCGTGAAATTAACCTTTCTGCACACCTGTTCCCGCGTCAAGAATAGGCTACGTTTCATTACATGGGATACGCACAACGAACTAGTTTTTCCTCCAGTGCTGGAAATCTGGGTCACCCTTTTGACATTCCTGAACTCTGTTTACAAATGCCCCCTCCCTGCTAGAGAACAACGGGGGTCTTTGCTCTTTAAGAGCAGCCTGTGGTAATTGACACAGCAGGAAGCAAAAGAGGTCACTGAAACAGAAACAATAACAGCAGCTAATGCTGAGAAGTAAAAAAGAGCCTCTCTACCTTTATCTGCCCTTGGAAACCAAAATAACTATCCTACAAGAAGACGGGGTGGGTGTTGCGGGGGAGGGGAGGGGAAGAACTGGCAGAGATGTGGGTGAAAACCTTGTCAATAACTGTCTTTCTTCTGTCACAACAATAGGGATTGTTCATTTATTTCAGAGAGCTGGGATTTTGGAGCAGGGGGAGAGACAGAGTGGGGAGGAGTTTGGTTTGGTTTGTGGACCGTGTTTCTAGACAGATGTTGGTCAAAGAGCTATGTGGCGTAGGTATTCACAGATGTTAATGTGCCAAGACTGGATCTTAAAAGGGATGATTAGATTTCCTCCATAGCATTTGTTAGAGTTTGTGGCATACACTTCTTGTACTGATTATTTGATTACTACCTGCCTGCCTCCTGGACCATGAGTTCCAGGAGCACAGCCATGTACTCCTCTGTCCGTGGAGCTGACCTCAGGGCTGGGCTTCTGGAGGAAGCTCAATAAATAGATACTGAATGCAAGAATGTTAATTAATTCAAACTGAAGATAGCTTGGAAAGATGCAAGGGGCAGCATATCACTGACAGGAGAGACAAGTTTGGGTTGGTTTCATTAAGTAGACCCTCTTATCTGTGAAGTAGGAAGTAAGGTCCTCCAAATCCAGCCATGTCCAACACCCAGTTTCCCGCTGCCAAACTGCAGCCCCCCATTAGGAGTGGTCAGGAAATGTGGGAAGGGTCTTAGGCAAGACGGCTGGGGTTTGTGTCAAAAGAAAACCTCCTCGCTCTCTTCACATCCAAAGCAATGGAAGCATTCATTTTAGAGGAACGGGCCTCCCCTTGTCCACTGCTATAAAATCTCTGGGGACGTTTTCACAATCCACTTAGTACAGAAAGGGGAAGCCACCCTCCTGTGACTGGAGGAAGCCGAGAAGACTAATTCTCTACTAAGCCATGGCGTTGCTGTATCTCAAAACCAACTTCCAACTTGATGCTGCCCCAATCATTCCAATCTAAAGCCTATGAATGGTCTTCTTACCCTGGGGGCACAAAGATTGTTTACAGTGGAAACCGATGTCCACGCACCCCATCCAAGAGGCAACCTCTCCTTCCTGCCCCATTAACTCCACTGCGGAGCTCAAGCCTTCCTTGTGCCAGAGGAGCGGCCTTAGATGATCACCTCCGATAAAGCAGAGCAGGCGACTTTATTTCCCAGTTCCCTTCAGAGCGTGTGAATCCTGGTGCTGCTAGAATTCACGCCTCCAAGGTCGGAATCCCGCCAGCCCACTCAGATGTGCTTCTCTTTCCAGTCTGGGGCCCCCAGAAGCATCCTGGCTTCCAGGCGAGGCAGGCTTCAGAACTGCATGGAGTCCGTCTCTCTAGGAGGATTAAAAACAATAAAATACCCACATTATTCAGCACTTACTGGGTATCAAACACTGTCCTAAGCTCTATCCCTGTGAAGTAGGTGGTGTCTCCATTTAGCGCATGAGAAAACGGAAGTTAGATTCTTAGGTAAATTGCACAGAGTACCCTCAGCATGGCGCTGTCTTAATTCTTATAGTACATAGGATGAAACTCACGATCTAAGAGATTGTCATTGTCCCCAGATCACAGACTACTCACACTTGCTAATTCAGGGTGGTGGGGCCACACCTAAACCCAGGTTTTCAGATGCCAAACCTGGGTCATTTTCATAGCACTCTAGGTCCTATAGCCAAAATCTAAACTTCCTTAAGAAAAGCATACACAAGAGAATCGTTGTAAATCTCTAACTTCAAGAATGAATCTTTTCTCTTTACTTCCTTCCTAGAGCCCGCAATTTCTCCACAAATATTTTTGACACAATTATTTTTAAATCTTGGTATTCACCCTTCAAAGGAATACAACCTCAGCTAGATACCTTGCCAGGCTCACCCCCATCTCTGAGCCTTTTCTTATCCAATGATCCAACTGGGAGTCTCTGCCAAGTCCTTCTATCTTTCAGGGCCTTGCGCTGCCACCTCCTCTGTGAAGCCCTCCTGACCACGCCAGACCACATGCCTCATTAAGAATCTCTCACATGGCTTTTGTAGGTAGTGATACCGTCTAACACTTTATCTTCTGTCTTCTTTCTATCCCCTCCACCTGAAGTGACTTCTACTCCAAGGCACATACTGCCGGGCAGAATCCAGGCATTCCGGCCCTGAGGGTTTTGTCTCAGTGCAGCTCAGAGCTGCTCTTCGGTAGTTTGTATTTATAATCTTGTAACTTTCACTGACATTTGAGAGCTGGGACTTGTCCTTGTCATGGAAGACTCCCCCAACCCTTGGGCACCTGGTTTACAATCTTCAGCTAAATCTGGATGCCACCCTGTGTGATTCCACACTCCTGTGGAGGTCCTGTCCAGATCCCTCAGCCTCCTCAGCTCCAGGGACTGCTCCCTCCACTATAATCCTGTGGCCTCACCTTGGAGGTTATCACTGGGAACTCTCCCACCACTATAGGTCTTAAATCCCAAATCCCACTCTTGGAGCACAAATGGCTATTACTTCCTTTATTCTCTTCCCTAACAGACAGAAATCAGCCCAGCAGCTTCTTCAAGGCCTCATAGTGCCTCTGATTCCTCCACTATCGGTGACTTCTTGGCTTCCTTCTGATCACATTTCCTTTCCCGTTCTCCAGCCTGGACTCCACACAAACTTCTCTCTCACCAGCACTTCAATTACCTAGCTCTCTTGTCCTTCTATGTCCCAATCCCTACTTCAATCTGGATATTCCATCAGACCGCTGAGTGAGGCTGCGTCACCGTAACTGTGCAGACTGACGTCATTCTAAGTTCGTGGCGTCCATTCTTAGCTGGGCCCTTAATTTGGCTCAACAACTTTTTAAGTGCTCTTGGTCAGCTTCCTCTCTCATTCTGCTGGACAGCTGTTGGAAGGCTTCATCACTTTTCTCCAGCTCTCTACCAAATTCCCTCCCTGCTTTACCCTGAAGATGATCTCACCCTCTCATCAGAGCTAACAGGCCATCATGGCACCCTCCTTCACTTTACTGACTCACTTTATAAGCTATATCTGCCCTCATGCTCATTTCCTTCCAGTCTCCAAGGAAAAGTTATCTCTCTGCGTAAAGTTAAACCAACCACCTGATCACCTGATCTCATCCTGTCTAACCTTCCCCCCAACGCTAGGAAATTAGCTCCGTCAAGCATCCCCTTTCTCAAATTGTTGACCTTTGACCTTTCATTATCTGTCTCTAGCCAATAAATGTGTTCAAATTCCTCCCATCTAAACACTCACACAGATACATAGTCACCTTTGCCTCTCCATCCTTCTCCTCTTCCCTGCCAAGCTTCTTGACAATGTGAGGTCTGTTCCCATCACTCACTGAAAAGGCCTCAGCAAAGGTCAGTGACGAGCGTTGTATGCAGTGGGCTCTCCATTCTCCCTCTTTCCTAGCCTTTCTGTAGCATTCAGTATTGCTCTTCCACGCTCTGCTGATTCTCCTACCTCTCTCATCTTTCCTTCTCAGTCTACACCACTGGTTTCTCTTTCTTTGCCTTTCTCATAAACAGTAGTTCTCTAGAATTCTATCCTGAGTCCTTTTCTTACCACCCCTGGGCAACTGCTTCCACTACCATGGATTTTACTATATCGAACTATGACTAAATTGTCATCTCCAGCCTAGACCTCGGCTGGGCACCAGGCCTATATAGTCAACAACCTACTCAACAGCTTCAGGTGGACATCGAAAACAAGACTTCTTTTTCTTAACTTGCTCCTACTTCTTCAGTCCCAGTCCCAACAATGATGATTATAATGATTATGTGATGATGATGATGATTAATATTTGTATTAATAATACATGCCAGACACTGTTCTAAACCTTAGTTGCCACAAGAATACTATAAGGTAAGTATTATTATCCCCATTTTACAAAAAGGGTAATAAACACAGAGAGATTTAATCTCTCAGTAAGTGACATTGTCTTTCACTTGAATATTCCAGAGACCCAAAAAGAAACCTGTATTTTTTCTCCTCCTTCATGTTCAATCAAGCATCAAATCGTGTTGGTTCTTCCACCTCAGTTTCTCTGGCTTTATCCTCTCCTCTCCATTACCTCTTCTCCAGAATCTGTGCCTTTGCCTTACTGCTGACTCTCATCATCGCTTGAACAGAATCTTAAAATAGTGCCCTGACTGGTCTTCTTGCCTTCAGTCTTAGCTCTCTCTACCTCCAATCCAACCATTCTCCACACCTCTTCTAGAGCGGTCCTTCTGAAATGCAAACAATCACGTTATTATGCTGCATAAAGCCGCTCAGCGGCTCCCCTCACCTACCACATTGCTCTTTCTGCACAGCAGGCACTCAAGACACCCACCTCCCCTCATTGGCTGCCCACTGCATGACATTTCAACTTCATCTCCTACTGTTTTCCTACTTTCACTTCAGACATTCCAGACACCTCCCTAAATGCCAAATGCAAAAGCTTTTGCTCACACTGTTTTCTCTGCCTGGAATGCCCTCTGTCATTTCTTTGTCGAGTAAACTACTCATCCTTCAAAAGTGTGCTCTTGGGGCCAGCCCAGTGGCATAGTGGGTAAGTTCAGCATGTTCTGCTTTAGCAGCCCAGGATTAAGGGGTGCAAATCTGGACCTACACCACTCATCAAGCCATGCTGTGGCAGCAACCCACATACAAAATAGAGGAAGACTGGCACAGATGTTAGCTCAGGGCCAATCTTCCTCACCAGAAAAAATGTTTAAAAAGGTGTGTTCTCTAATATGGCAGCCAGTAGCCACTTGAGGCTAATCTGAATTAAGATGTACTGTGCAAAAAATCTAAACACCGGATTTCAAAGACATAGTGTGGACAAAAGCGTAAAAGTCTCAATAATTTTATAATGATTACACATTGAAAAGATAGTATTTTGGATATATTGGGTTAAGTAAAATATATTATTAAACTTTATTGTTTATTTTTACTTTTTAAATGTGCCTACTAGAAAATTTAAATTTACAGATGAGGCTTGAATTTGTGGCATGCATTGTATTTTTATTAGACAGCACTCCTTCAAAATCCTTATCTGGTAAACTTAACTGAAGGAGCAAAACTGAAAACTACAAAATGTTCTTGAGAGAAATTAAAGAAGACACAAATAAATGGAAAGACATCTCCTGTTCATGGATTGGAGACTTAATATCGTTAAGATGTCAATACTACCAAAGTGATCTCCAGATTTAATGCAATCTCTATCAAAATCTTAGCAGGACTTTTTGTAGAAATAGGAAAATCCATCCTAAAATTCATATGGAATCTCAATGGATCTCAAGTGGCTGAAACAATCTTGAAAAATAAGAACAAAGTTGGAGTTCTCATACTTCTTGATTTCAATACTTATTACAAAGCTACAGTAATCAAAACAACGTGGTACTGGCATAAAGGCAGACATATAGACCAATGGAATAGAACAGAAAGTTCACAGATAAACTCTTGAGTATACAGTCAAATGATCTTCAACTAGGGTGCCAAAACCACCCAATGGGGAAAGGAGAGGCTTTTCAACAAATGGTGTTTGGAAAACTGGATATCCACATGCAAAAGAATGAAGCTGGACCCTTACCTTACACCAAATACAAATATTAACTCAAAATGGATCAAAGACTTAAACATAAGAGCTAAAACTATAAAACTCAGAAGAAAACATAGAGGAAAAGCTTCATGACATTGGATTTGGTGATGATTTCTTGGCTATGACACCAAAAGCACAGGCAACAAAAGTGAAAACAGATAAACTAGACTACATTGAAATTGAAAACTTCTATGCATCAAAGAACACAATCGACACTGAAAAGACAACCTATGGAATGGGAGAAAATATTTGCAAAGCATTTATCTAACAAGGGGTTAATATCCAGAGTACATAAAGAACTCCTACAACTCAACAGCAGAAAAATCCAAACAATCCAATTAAAAAATGGGCAAAGACTAGAATAGACATTTCTCCAAAAATGATGTAAAAATGGCCAACAAACACATGAAAAGATGGTCGACATCACTAATCATTAGGGAAATGCAAATCAAAACCACAATAAGATATCACCTCATACCCATTAGGAAGGCTGTAATTTAAAAAACAGAAAATAACATGTTAGTGAGGATGTGGAGAAATTGGAACCCTTGTGCACTGTTGGTAGGAATGTAAAATGGCGTAGCTGCAATGGGAAATGGTATGGAAGTCCCACAAAATATTAAAAATAGGATTACCATAAAATCCAGCAATACCACTTCTGGGTACATATTCAAGAGAACTGAAAGCAGGATCTTGAAGAGATATTTGCACACCCATGTCCATAGCAGCAAAAGGTGAAAGCAATCCAAGTGTCCACTGGCAGATAAATGGATAAACAAAATGTGATATATACATACAGGGGAATATTATTTGGCCTTAAAAAAGGAAGGAAATTCTGACACATGCTACAACACAGATGAACCTTGAAGACATTGTGTTAAGTGAAATAAGCCAGACATAAAAAGACAAATATTGTACGATTTCACTTACATGAGTTATCTAAAGTGGTCAAACTCATGGAAACAGAAAGAAGAATGGTGGTTGCAGGTGATTACAGGGGGTAGGGAGAGAGAGAAATGAGGAATTCTTGTTGAATGTGTATAGAATTTCATTTTTGCAAGATGAAAAAGTTCTGGAGATTGGTTACACAGCAATGTAATCACAATATGAATTTATTTAACACTACTGAACTGAGCACCTAAAGATGGTTAAAATGGTACATTTTACATTATGTGTATTTTACCACAATTAAATATTTTTAAAAAATCAAGTTCCAAAAAAAATCCTTACCCAGATATCAACTCCCTTCCCCTGCCTTGGGTGAATTAACCACTCCCTCCTTTGTGCCTCCACTATACCTTGCACATATCACTTTTAGGGCTCATCACATTTTTGGTAATTATTCTTTTGACAGGATAAGGGTTACTGTCCCATGTGCCCCCATCCTGGGATGAGATGAACACTTACCCACTCTGAGGTCTTGACCAGAAGCTAAGAAAATATACTAGGGTCGTTGGCAAGATGGAGAAAAGCAGCCCTCATGGTATAATATGCTGCAGGGGACAGTCATTATTAGCAAGAGCACACCTTGTATCTGTAGGGGTCTCCCTCTAAGGCTAGATCTGGGGGGCCCTCTTCCTTCAGCCATCCTTTTGTAAGCAGGATCTGAAAGACCTAAAAAGCACTTCCACCCTCCCCCAACACATAAAAACACCCCCTTCTCCATCATGAGGACAACCGGCTGAAATGATCAGTCTCACCCAGTCCACCCCGTTGACGGGATGAGAGGAAGATGTTCATTCGAGATAGATTCTAGATAAAGTAGCTTATGTAATAGATAAGGTACTCAGGGGCAATTAAAGAACTATTTTGCTGCCTCCTCTGGCCTCTTTGTATGTATGCCTGATGCCTAATAAGAATTTCTTTCTTTCCGCTAATCGACTGGACCTTCCTGCCCTTCCAAGGTCATAGCCAAGAGGTTACATTTGTTTGATCTGTCTTCCTTGGGTCCCTAGGCAGGTCCCTAGGGCAGGGACCATACCTTATTCTTCCATGTATCCCCAGTGTCCACCAGTCCTGGCACATAGCACGTGCCCAATAAGTGCCAAACAAATTTAGAGAGAGGGTGGGGGGAGTCTCTACAATAGCCCAGAGGGATGCTTTCGGTAGAGCAACTAGTCCACCCCAGAGAGCAAGGACAGTCTGAATAGAGAGCTACAGGGAGCATGTGGGTCTGGTGGGAGTGGGGAGCAGAGGGAGCATGAGAAGAAAAAGTGGTTCATTATGAAGCCAAGGTTGAGCAGGTTGATGAAATTTACACCCAGTTTCATGTTCCATTGTCTCACTAGTCATCATACAGTGCCGACATTTATCTGGTCCCCAGGCAAATTTCCTTTCATTCTATAATTTCAGCTCAATCTGAAGCAACACCATAACGCCGGCTCAGTGGCCCCCATTCCACAAGCCACATACCTTGCTTCAGTTTTAAATTAGACATTGTTTTATCTGGCTGACTGGACTGTTTCAGGTCTGCTAACAATAAGATGATTATGTATGGCCCTTTCATGCAGTCGGTTCTTTGTAATTTTTTTTTTCCTCTCCAGGAATCCTGGAAAGGATTCCTAACAATGGTTAATCCAAAAATCAGCTTTATTTGTCAACATAATGGTATCCCTTCAAACTCATATTCATAGAATTTGCAAGCTGGAAGGAAAAGTAAAGATTAGTTCTGTTTCCCTGGTAAGGAAATTTGTGCCTAGAGAGCCAAGTTGGGTCACAGTGAGTTAGAACGAGGACTCGGGGCCCTGGGCTTCCAGTCCTGAGCCCTTTTCCTTCTGCCACCCAGCTGCGGGTGCAGCCACACCTGCTTGGCACACGGCTAGCTCACCCGTCTCTGCTTTTCTGTAATTTCTGCAATTAGGGCTCTCGCTGGACAGCTCTAAATTATCTGCATTAGGAGGAAAGTAATGAGCAGACACGAATTCTTCAAAGTTTTCAAGGTTAATTTTCCTTGGAACGTTCTGGGTGATTTTTTCTTTCTAAAGTCCCATTCTCAACGGTGCTGACATTTGAGGTATTGTTCCATCAGCTGAGCACTAAGGAGCCAGTCCAGAAGTGCGCTAGTTAGCAGAGGATTTGCCTCAAAGAGCTGTGCATTGGGCCGGGCACTGTTGGCTACTAAGCAGCCCCCAAATCATTTGTGTTATCATTTAATAGGGACTAACTGAGCACCGTCTGTGTGTCTGTCTGCAGCCGCCTGATTAAAGAGAGCGGCTGCCTCCATCCCTCCACGAAGCGGCAGACACAGGGACTTCTGAATCTCATCTCGGATCTGGCCTTAACTTGTATTGCGACTTCGGGCAAGTATTTTAAATTCTCCCAACTCTGGTAGCCTGTGGCTTCAAAAGAAAAAAACAATCTTTTCAAAAGGGAAAGGTATTTTTTGGAACTGGAGAAACAGACACAACAACAACAACGGAAGTGCTGTGAGACGCTCACCAGGACCCCTGTCCCAGGAGCCACATGCCAGCGACCCCAAGGCAGAGGCTGCCAACAGCCTACCCAGCGGGCTCCCCAGTTCGGCTCCGGGGAGCCCAGGCGGCGGAGGCCAAGGGGGAGCCTTTCTCTTTAAGAGCCCCACGGGCGATCCTGATTGGCTGTAGCTATGCAGGTCTTTCTTCCCCGCTCCCTCCGATCGCTCCCTCCCCCGCCGCGGTCTCCGCTCTCTTTGCACACCCCTCCCCCCTCCTCTGCACTCACCCCCCGCCCCCCGCCCCCCGCCCCCCGCTCCCCGCTTGCCTCTCCTTCCCGGCGCCGAGTTCAGCCTGGCCAGCGGCATGGGTGATACGCCAGCAACAGATGCCGGGCGCCAGGATCCGCATCCTTAGGCCAAGCTGAACGCCTGAAGAAGAGAGAAGGAACCGGAGAAGGGCCGGGAAGGCGGGCGTGGAGGTGCGGAGAGCCCCCCCAAAGGCAGAAGCCCCCGCCCCCACCGGAGAGCTCCGCGCCGGCACAGCGCCCGCCTGCTGCCGCCGCCGCCGCCGGCGCCCCCTCGCTCCAGCCATGCCGGGCCCGGCCGCCGACGGGGGCCAGGTGCCCTCCTGCCGCGCCGCGGGGGAGACCCGCGCGCGGGGCGAAGGCTCGGGGGGCGGCGGCGGCCGGGGGAGGCCGGGCGCGTGCGGACAGCGGCAGGACATCGTCTGGAGGAACGTCGTCCTCATGAGCCTGCTCCACTTGGGGGCCGTGTACTCCCTGGTGCTCATCCCCAAAGCCAAGCTGCTCACTCTGCTCTGGGGTAAGTGCCGCCGGCGCCCCTGCGCCCCGGGCCCCGCGGGCGGCCTGCAGCGGCTCGCCCTCCGGGACGGGCAGGTATTTCTGTGCCGGTATTTCAACTTCTGCCTCCCCCGCTGGTCGCCCGAGGAGGCGCATTGCCGGCCCCCGGTGGAGAGCGGGAGGGCCCTGGGGTCCTGCGGCGGCTGAACCCGGCCTCCGGGGAGGGCAGACGGGCTGGACGGCGGTGTCGCCCGTGCGGGGCCCGGGGGCTCTCCTGTCTGCTGCCTCTCAGCTTCTCAGTCTCCTCCGCCGGCCACGGACCTTGGGGCCGAGTTAAGGACAAGAAAGGGATGGAGGGAGGTGGAGAGACCCGGCACAGGAACAGTCTTGATTGTCGCGCACGAGTGGAAGAAACCAGCTCCCTTCCTGCCCCTGCAGGGCCCCTCTCCCTGCCCTCTCTGTGACCCTCCTCTGCCCAGTTGCACTTCTGTGATCCCAGAAGTTTCTCTGCGAGCAGACCGAGCCCACAGTGAGAGCGCTCTGGCCCCAGAACAAAGCTCTGACTGTGGCCGTGCAGAACCCCCCCCAGGCCCTGTAACCCCCGGCTAGTGCGGGTCTGCCGCCCGCACCTGTGGCTCTCCCGCCACCCTCCTTCCTAGCACCCCCACCCCTGCTGGCAGCGGAGGGAGCCCAGGAGTCGATCCCCCCACCCCCACCCCGTCGGGCCCCAGGAGCTCAGTGGCTCCCCGCATGGCTCCAGTCGCTGACCTCTGAACTACCTCACAGACCTCTTGGCCCTAGTAACCGGTTTTGGCATCAGTCACCGAGGTGGCAGTAACCGGGACAAAAGACGCAGGCATTGATGTCTTGGGCTGAGAATTTGACTGGGTAATCCAAGAAGCCCGTTCAGCTCCCGTTTCTGACATCGCCAAGGAGTGGGGGCAGGAGAAATACAACGTACTTTCCTTTCCAGAGAGGAAGAGGAAGGAAGGAAAAATGACCTCTTTCTGCGAAGCTCTTATTTGGCGTAGTGCCAGCTTCAAATGCCTAGGTTGACACCCGGGCCACTCGGTTCCTATCCTTTGCTTGAAGCCCTGCAATCGCTGCTCTTGGACCCATCGGGAACGTGGGCATCTCTTAGGGGGGTGTGGCTGAGCTGGCAGAATTGTGGAATGGTGAGAGGGGCAGAGGTCTTTGGGAATCATGAAGCCTTTTAAAGTCCCCTGGACGCTTTGGGTAACCCCCCTGCTCAGGCCTCCCCAACTCAGTGCACCGCCTCGATTCTGTGGTCTTTTCACCATCTTCTTTGTTACGTGTTGCTTTAATTTTTAGTCTGCCTGTCTTCTTACCTCATCTCCAAATGCCTAGAGTGTAAGATATTCAGCCATTAATTCATGGACACACTCCCACCCTGCCAGCGGAAGCCCTTATTGCTCCAGAGCCTTCCTGGACCTCCTCCTTCCCCTTCCAGGGGCAAGACTGGGCTGCTGGACTTCAAAGCCCACCTGCCTCCAGGGGATTGGGGCTTGTCCTTAATAGCTGCAGTCTGAGAGAGAGCTCAGGGAGGAGTGAGCACTTAAAATATTATCTTACATGCCTGGAGCTCCACAGGGCCCTCAGGCTCCACTCCTTACAGCGAACCCCACTCACCCTGGCACCCCACCAGCAGCCACAAGGACAAGGCCTCCTCTCCAGGTTTGCCAAGTCACCTCTGCCCTTTCCAGGCCGCTCTCTGTGGTGAAGACAGAATCTTTGTTCTGAAAGACCTTGGCCAGAGGACACCTCCTTCGGCCCCAAACTCCTCCAGCTTCCTGGGAGAAGTCAACACACTGCAGGAATCTGGTTTCCCCTTTGTGGGTTATGTTGCCAAACTCCATCCTTGTACCTCCCTGCATAGTCTTCTGCCTCAGCTATTTTTCATCAGCTCCGTTGTCTGAATCCTGATTCTCTCCCTACCTCTCCTTCTTTGCCTCTCCACCACCCCCCCTCCAAAAAAAGAAAAAGAACAGACAATCGTGGATGTTGTAGTTTTAAGGTCTAAAATTGTGACCTAGAAACATTCCAAACAAATGAATCATATTTGATGGATATCTTGTGAGAGAAGAAATGAGGGACTCAGACCAGCTAAGACTGGTACTGCTGATGGCTAAGATACATAGGGCAAGCGGAAGACTAGGGGCACCATTGACTCAGGGTTAGTTTCAGTGCAAGTCCTGGTGCCTTGACCCGCAAATTTCCTCCCGCTGGATGCCCTTTTCACCACCTCCCCCACTGGCTCTGTCTAGCTGGAGGGCTGAGTTCATGCACCAGTGGGCTGCTCGTCCACTTCAGGGACCTGGGTTGTCAAGGAAATAGGCTTACCCATCCATTGCTTGCCACCCTCCACCCTAGGTGAGGTTGCCCTGGAAACAAGGGGCATCCATGCAGTGCACCGAGCAGAGACGTGTTCGTTGTGCAGTGTGCGGAGAGTAATTTGCATGGTGGTAAAATGTCATCCATGAGAGATCCATCAAGTTGTTTAGTCCGACCTCCTCCACTGCCTAACGCCCCACCTTTTCACGACTCTCCTTGGGGCCAGAGCCAGTTGTTTTCCCTTCTCATCCTTGCAGTTTTCTGAGTGGGCAGGCTGTCAGAACAGAATGCTCTTGGTGCCCACAGGTCCTGAGAGATGAGTTTATGAGTTTCAAGGACAGAAAACAAGCTCCAACTGGAGTTTTGCCTGAAATCTTCACCTGAAGGCTTGAGCTCACAAAAGTGCCTGCTTTGATGGTTTTTGGTCAAAGGGGTGGTCAGTCCGTGGCCTGAATCCCACAATGAGTGAAACAGGGCACTGAGGGGTGGCAGTCATGGTATGGGGCCTCCTTCCCCGGGAGCTTTGCCCTGACTGTCTCCAGGCATTCTGGCTGTTGGTTTCCAGAAATGTCAGGGACTTTTCTGGTTTCTCTCTGAATGTTGTCTGAGTCCCCTAAATGTGTCCCATGGTGACATCATGGTTTTTTTTTCCCTCATGGGACAACTTCAGTGACAGTACCAGGCATGAAAAGCAGAAATTTGCTTTGCTGCCCTCTTCTATCCTGCCCCGGAGCAAATGGGACCATTGTTCAGGCAGCTACGGGATTTTCTGGTGCAGTTCTGGTTGCTGGAGCATCTGGACCACCCTGAATGGGATTCAGCCTAGGGTGAGGAAGCTGAGAGGTGGCAGGGATTACCAAGGCAGTCTGGGAGAGGGAGGGTCACGAGAGGCTGGGGTTTGGAAGGTACTGGTCTACTGGTCAAATTCTGTCCAGTTCTAAGAGTTGCCCAAAGATGAGCTGCCCTCTCTCAGGCGTTGGGTACCCTCCATCCACCATTTGGGATGGTCCTGATGTCTTTGTTGGGTTGTGCTGCTTTTTCCATCAAGTCCCTAAAGTTGTCGGGGAGCCCCAAGAATGTGCGGCCATGGACTTCTGTCTTGCCCCCAGGTTGTCTATGGTGAGCAAGGCTCAGGGCAGAGATGGGTCAGAAGGTGAGTCTCTGCTCTCCTGCTTACTTACCAGCTGCATGGCCTTGGACAAATTAACTAACATCTCCAGACCTCTCCTTTCTTACCTGTAAAATGGGTATATTAATAGTACTTGCTCACAAGGTTGTGAGAATTTAATTGGATAATATATGTAAATCCCTTAGCACAGTGCCTGGCCCTCGGTTGGGTTCACTGATTGTTAGCTGCCATTATTATTCCTGGTCCTAATACTGGCTCTTTTTCTTTAGTAGAAGGAAAAAGGCCCTCTTGCTGCACAGTAAGTTCTGCAAAGTGGCACAGAACTTGGCTTCCTTGCCCCTCTTGCATGGAAAAGATTGCTCTGGCTTTGAAAACAAGAGTTCTTTCTCAAACTCCCCAAAGAGAAATGAACACAAATGCCTCCTGTGCTTTCTCCCTCCCCCGTAACCTTCTCTTTCATTCTCTCTTCCTTCTGTTTTCCTCCAAAAGGCCACTGTTTCGTAGATAAGAATCTTTCCATTCAGCTGACAATTCACCTGGTCTTTAGTGTTTTCTTTGGTCTTTTTGAGCACAGCCAGTTGCAGTTGCTGTAGAAACAGGGCCAAATGGTTCCTCTAAATCTCTTAGGGTCTCAGTTTTGACTTCTTTTCTTCTCCATCCTCATCTCCTTGAGCCTTCTTAAAAAAAAAAAAATCCTTAATGCTCAATTAAACTCCTAAAAAACTGAAAGACGTAAATGAATCTTCCTTTTAAACCCTGTAATTCCCAGCCCATTGTTGTTGGAACTCCTGCATTTTTCATAAATGGGCAAGCACTAAGAGCCTCCCGCATGGCTGGAGTGCAGCGAAGCTGGAGAGGATAGCGTGTGGTTTGGGGGCTTAATATCCCCAACAGGTATAAATAGAGCTTAAGGTTAACCTTATTAACTCAGTGTTTTCTGCAGCTCGTCAAGGTCCCTGCGGACTGCACTGTGATCGTGAAATGAGAGACAGGGCCACAGAGTAGAAACCAGGGCTGGAATCCTGGCATTGCCGCTCAGTTCATCCTCAGACACGTCCCTTTCTGCGTCCTGAGCTTCGGTTTCCTCACCTGTGCAATGTGGACAGTGATACCGAGCTGAGAGTTGTTTTAGGAATTGAGTATGTGTTACAGTGCCTGCCAGAGAGTAGACGCTGAATGCTGTCTCTTATTATTACCTCCCATGATGGGGTCTACGTCATGACACCTGCACTGGCGTCATCGTCTGTCTGGGGCTTGGAGTACTCCTGGCTCAAATATAAGGCACAGTCTTTAAATCTAAGTACTTGATCATGACTTTGCTAGAACGTTTTAGTTCTCGTCTTATCTAGTTCTGTGTGTTGGATAAAATTACAAGAATTGCTTGGAAAAGCCATTGATAGATTTACAAAAGAGTGACACAGCCGTGCTGGGTTTTTTTAAGGTTTTCCAAAAGACGGTGTCGTCTTAGGGTGGCATTGTTCTTGCTGAGCGTTTGACATTGTGTAGTCACTGGCCTGCAGTCTGCCTGTCCCTCTGCTGTG